TTAATTCAGAAAAGCCTTTCAGAGGAATTAATTTGCTTTGGCTTTGAGAGTTCCTGGAAAACGTTAATTCAGAAAAGCCTTTCAGAGGAATTAATTTGTTTTGGCTTTGAGCGTTCCTGGTGAACGTTAATCCAGAAAAGCCTTTCAGAGGAATTAATTTGCTTTGGCTTTGAGAGTTCCTGGTAAACGTTAATTCAGAAAAGCCTTTCAGAGGAATTAATTTGTTTTGGCTTTGAGAGTTCCTGGTAAACGTTACTTCAGAAAAGCCTTTCAGAGGAATTAATTTGTTTTGGCTTTGAGAGTTCCTGGTAAACGTTAATTCAGAGGAATTAATTTGTTTTGGCTTTGAGAGTTCCTGGTAAACGTTAATTCAGAGGAATTAATTTGTTTTGGCTTTGAGAGTTCCTGGTAAACGTTAATTCAGAAAAGCCTTTCAGAGGAATTAATTTGCTTTGGCTTTGAGAGTTCCTGGTAAACGTTAATTCAGACAAGCCTTTCAGAGGAATTAATTTGTTTTGGCTTTGAGCGTTCCTGGTAAACGTTAATTCAGACAAGCCTTTCAGAGGAATTCATTTGTTTTGGTTTTGAGCGTTCCTGGTAAACGTTAATTCAGAAAAGCCTGTCAGAGGAATTAATTTGTTTTGGCTTTGAGCGTTCCTGGTAAACGTTAATTCAGAAAAGCCTTTCAGAGGAATTAATTTGTTTTGGCTTTGAGCGTTCCTGGTAAACGTTAATTCAGAAAAGCCTTTCAGAGGAATTAATTTGTTTTGGCTTTTAGCGTTTCTGGTAAACGTTAATTCAGAAAAGCCTTTCAGAGGAATTAATTTGTTTTGGCTTTGAGAGTTCCTGGTGAACGTTAATTCAGAAAAACCTTTCAGAGGAATTAATTTGTTTTGGTATTGAGAGTTCCTGATAAACGTTAATTCAGAAAAGCCTTTCAGAGGAATTAATTTGTTTTGGCTTTGAGAGTTCCTGGTAAACGTTAATTCAGAAAAGCCTTTCAGAGGAATTAATTTGTTTTGGCTTTGAGCGTTCCTGGTAAACGTTAATTGAGAAAAGCCTGTCAGAGGAATTAATTTGTTTTGGCTTTGAGCGTTCCTGGTAAACGTTATTTCAGAAAAGCCTTTCAGAGGAATTAATTTGTTTTGGCTTTGAGCGTTCCTGGTAAACGTTAATTCAGAAAAGCCTTTCAGAGGAATTAATTTGTTTTGGCTTTGAGCGTTCCTGGTAAACGTTATTTCAGAAAAGCCTTTCAGAGGAATTAATTTGTTTTGGCTTTGAGCGTTCCTGGTAAACGTTAATTCAGAAAAGCCTTTCAGAGGAATTAATTTGTTTTGGCTTTGAGCGTTCCTGGTAAACGTTAATTCAGAAAAGCCTGTCAGAGGAATTAATTTGTTTTGGCTTTGAGAGTTCCTGGTAAACGTTAATTCAGAAAAGCCTGTCAGAGGAATTAATTTGTTTTGGCTTTGAGCGTTCCTGGTAAACGTTAATTCAGAAAAGCCTTTCAGAGGAATTAATTTATAAAGTGTCATTTTTCCTTTTTTGGCTTAACTTTCTGTGTAGTGATTTTATTGCAATTGCGTTGTTGAATTTAAAAAAAAATTCATATTGCTTCCCTGGTATTTTTTTGTTTGTTTTTTTCTTGATATAATTTTCTTTCTTTCTTTCTATATCTATTTATATATACTTTTGTATTATGATATTTTATTCCAATACATTGTATAGTTTAAATTTCAAAAAATTATAATTTTCAAATATTCAAACATCTTTTTGGCACGGTATTTTTCTTATCTACAGTATCTGTTGACTGTGTTGTATCAGCTTGGAGCGAGTGGAGTAAGCACGATAAAGACGGAATAGTTCATAGACAGAGATTTGTCGTAGTTACACCGATGCATGGGGGTAAAGAATGTCCACATACGATCGAAACTAAAGCAGGTAATTATTCTGGTTATGTATATTTATATACTCGTAGATGAGTTAAACGGATTATGCTGCTCATTTGATATGTTAATAAATTACTCATACGGATACAGATTTTTTTCTTTTTTCTGACCAAAGTCCAGGTACTCTTTAATCCGTTCAACTGTAGCTTGCTTTTGTGAACTTTGAATGGAAGTGTTGATTTACAATACTGAATGTATGAAATTACCTCATTCAAACATATATTACGGTTAAAACAAATGTAGTTCAAACGCGCGTTTTATTATTTTGTTGTTTATACTAAAACTATGCCGTATTGGTTTACTTGTATATCAACATACCAGTGTGTGTCGGTGTGTGTTTTACATGGCTTCCTTTTTCTTAGATTTTCATAATGAAGAATACAATTAGAAAATACCTGTTAAGTACTGCAGACATATCATGACCATGTTATTACATATTTGCTGAACTGTACGGAAGCAAAAAATTGGAGTCGGTGTTAATATCTGGATTAACCCAGATATTTTCTTTACACAGTCCACATTAAGTAATAATTCTTTTCAGATTTTCCTGCAAGTTTATCTAATTCTCAAGTTTTTACACAGCTTTTGAATTAAGAGCTATGAAATTATCAAATGTACAGACATTGCACTTGGCCTTCAGATTCACCCGATCCTTTCACCAAAAGGAACATATACCAGTCTTGAATTTATTGTCGTTAATGTAAGAATTTTTTTTAAATGATTAAAAAAACTGTACTCAAAAATGTTTTGAAATGAACCACTTTGAAGGTAAACTTTATTGATTGATATTTGTTGTCACCACGTTCAGTGGCAAACATTTCATGCACATAAAGAGCGAGAGTAATTATTGTAATTATCCACTGTACATATACTTCCGATAACATTTCCCCCGGAAGTAGACGTTATCAAGCTTTCTTACGTCAAGCAAGCTTAAAACTGTGTAAGGGAAGGTAGCCAGAAATAACACGGCAAACACTTGAATTTGTTTTTCTGGAAACTGTGTCATAAACAATGCCGTAATATCTGTTCTTGTTGAAACAAATGTGCATTACCCTTTATTCCGTTTGGAAAACATACTGCAATGTTTGTTCCAATGGAAATAAAATTCCAGATAATTATTCCATTTGGAACTAATATTATGAAACAACTTCTATTTCATGACATTTCAATATGCCATATATAACCGCTAGCAAGAATTGCTTCCTTTCAATATACGGATCAAGATATTTATTGATTTACAACGCTGTACTTGTAGTTCCAGTTGATTGCATTGTTGGAGATTGGGGTCCATGGGGACCAGTCGACAACGAGGGAATAAAAACACGAGCACGAGTTAGAAAACAGAAACCTTTAAATGGAGGACAGCAATGTCCACCTCTTATAGAAGAGTTAAAAGGTAAATATGGACTAACGAATATACATACCATGTTTGTAGTTGCGCCACAAGATTTAAAAAAAATAAATGTATCCGAAACTTTGATGGATAGTGTTGAAGGTAGTAGAAGATTTTTTCTGTGTGATATATCAATTTTTAACTTGTTTATTTCAAAATTTATTTTAAAAAATGAATAGATACTGATATTTTGTTTCAGTTCCACTTGATTGCATTATGACTGTTTGGTCAGAATGGACAGTACCTAATAAGAAAGGAATTAGTTTCAGGGAACGAGAAATAGTCAGAGAACAGAAAAACGGCGGGAAAGAATGTGGAGCGACAGACGAATCCAAAGCAGGTTCAAATGTCCAATCATTTTATATCTTTAATATTCTTTGTAATTTTGAAACATATTATTTATTTTGTGGTATTTAGATATAATCGTTGAATTTCTTTGATGTTCTACTCCAGGTCTGACTGTTATCTAACTAAAATCATGGTGATAGACAATATCCGTACATTGTAGGAAAGTATAAAATGTATTTCTACTCGCTACGAAACAGGAGAAAAGCTCTGCGAGCCTCGTTTTTCTCTCTGTTTCTTAAGCTCGTACAAATGACATCCTGCAATTTAACATTTACGTTTAAAAGTATAGTATTTTACTTCCCAACAGCTGCATTTGTTTTTGAATGAAATCAACACCACTTAAACGCGTACCGCAATGAGGAGCCCAAATTGAACTGTGAGGTAAACAGTAATTTGAATATACATGTAACCGTTTGCTCACAACAGAAGCAGTATACCAGTAGACTATAAACTTCTACTATACGTCTATCGCTTCATTTTATCTGTCAACCTGTATTTGTATAGTAGAAAGGTCGATTGTAGGATAAATTTAATTATCTTACCTCCTATACATTTCTAGGAATATGATTGGTTAAAAGCGTCCGCGTGGAGACCGTGTATATTCCATATTAGGTTAGTAGGGAGGCGGGGCTTATTTCAATACACGGTTAGTAGTGGTGTTACGTCCCTTTATAAAAACAAAACGGTACTGAGAAAACATCTTAAAGGTTTCAACAAACGAAGAAATTGATGATTAAGATTGAAATAAATTCATAAAACACATTTAAAGCTAACAATTTGTTATTGTTGACATCTGTTTTTGTATGATCAATGGAAGTAGTTTCGTAATGCTAACGGTATTGAAGACTTGCTCATTTTGATAGGTTACTAGTCTAAATATCACACGTTAAGATAGTCGGTAAGATAAATTCGTTACATAGTGTGCTAGTGACGTAATACGGTATATATGGGGTCAGTAAATTCCATATGGGGATTCGAGCTTCGCTCTCACCCCATATGGAATTTACTGACCCCATATATACCGTATTAGGTCACTAGCACACTATGTAACTAATAATATCTGACCACATAGACACAGAAACATAACGCTTTTTAAATATTTATTAATTCTGGATCATGGTTGCTTTTTTACAATTGTTTAAAATTAAAATAGGCATATTTTAATGACCAATGCATAAAGTTTAATAAACTTTTTTTTTTAAATAACACTAGTTTGTAAATCATAAGAGTAATGTAATACATAAGAAGACAAAGACTTTCAAACAATCTCTTCAATTTATGAGCATATGGATGACCATGAACATTTATTTTGAATGACAGATAATCTTATGATTTTCTTACATTTACAAGTTCCAATCGATTGTGTGGTTACAAAGTGGAGCGATTGGAGTCCCCATGACAACAACGGAAACTCACACAGAGAACGATATGTAACCCAACCGGCTTTGAATGGAGGAGCAGAATGTCCAGTTACGTATCAGACTAAATTAGGTATTTTTTATTAAAAGATATGACCCGTAATATTTGTTGGCTAATGGACTAGTTGACAAATGTAATAATAAAACTGTTGTTGTTCAATCATTGCGTCTGGTATTTTTTGGCTAATGGACTAGTTGACAAATGTAATAATAATACTGTTGTTGTTCAATCATTGCGTCTGGTATTTTTTGGATGAACATAAATTCACTTATTCCGATTTTTTCAACATTGAAATTCTGTTTGTTATTGACATTGCACATGATCGTGTCTTCTTGTACCGTTTACGACGTTACCTTAACAAATGTACTCTGACGTATAACCACCGATATTTGAATGTAAGACTGCATGCGAAGATGTCAACAAATCAATAGGTTGGTTCCCTCCGTAAAATATTCAGTATGCCTTCGGTATTGTCAAGAATTTCAATAACGGCCGGGTACCAGTCTAACAAATCAAATACATTAACTAGCTTATAGTAACTTCGAGTATTATCTGGTATGGTTTTGTTTATTATTGTCTTGTTTGACCTGTACTTTTGTTATTTATTATACAGAGGACAAAAGTCGGTCTTCATTTCGGTAGAACAATCAATATGAAAATCAAAGTTCTGTTATATTGTTTTATTATACTTCAGATTATGATTGGCTAATACCAGGGAGATGATTTACTCTATCCCATGGCTGAGCGGGAGACAATTTTTTGAATGTCACCCTCTCGTGCAGACCAATCAAAAATCGATCATGTAAAGGACAATGAATCGAATTTACATCAAATAATTAAGGACAATACTCAATTTGTACGTTTTGGCTCAGAACCTTTTCATAGACTGCCAAAATAATAAAATAAAAAAATCTTGCTTCACTTTTGTTGATTTTTCTAATACCTGTAACGTTTTTATGTACGTGACGTCATAGTAAAATACTTTAAATTTTATATTCAACAGTATAAGTCAATAATGATGGGACATCAGTATGATAAATAAAATAACACATAGCTGACAGGGTGATAGAGCAGATTGGTACCCCTCGAAAAAACATTGTCAACCTTGACTTCGCCTCAGTTGACAATGTTTCTCGGGGTAACAATCTGCCCTCTCACCCTCTCAGTAACTTTTATCTATAAATAGCCGAATCTCCTGTAAACACACACAAAGGCCAGTCAAGGTCGTTAAACACTTTCATCATCATCAACACACATATGATTGTTTCACATTCAATCCAGTCGCTCACTGTTACGCACATTTTATACACGAAAATGGTTATAATATTTAATGACGAGAGAAAAATATTTTGGCAAATATGTAAAGCATTTACAACCATGATTTGAAGGATTATTCCGTTGGACCTTATTTGATACATAACATTAAACGATATATACTGCTTCATAACGTTTGTGGTAAAATTTGTTGATTGACATTAAAGGCTTTTCTGAATGAATTAATCTACAAAGCGAGAACATTTTCCACTTTCATCAGCTAAGAGACGGCTAGCTTTTTTTCGAAAAGCTGTTACTTGTTGTACTTCATGTCAAAATGCCAGATTTTGATTGGTTAATACGACGGAGAAAATTGACGCTATCCAATGGCTAATACTCTATTACCCTTCACGGAGACGCTTGCTCAAGTGTGCGCTTTGATAAATACGGATGATTGTTATGTATAAGACGACATAGTTTATTACTTTGAATTTGAAATTTAATTAAATTTATTGGGTTGTAAAAGCTTTGACCGAAGTACATTTTGTATGAAACGCGTTTACAACCCTATAAAATTACTAAAAGAAGCATTCAATACTTATAATTACATTTTTTTGCTAGATCATGAAAACACAATTTCTATCAAGTTTTTCTTTTATTTACCTGTGCACTTTATTGTGGAAGCTCGTGTCATCATGAATGTTACATTTCATTTTGAAATGAAATTTAATTTCAAAATAACGCGAGATTGATGTTAGCCAATCAAAATAACGTATTATAATGAAACATACATGTAATGTAATTATTAGACAGTAATAACAGAAAATTCAGTATAATAAATTAAATAACACATATCTGAAAGGGTGATAGAGCAGATTGCTTCGCCTCAGTTGACAGTGTTTTCTCGGGGTAACAATCTGTTCTATCACCCTCTCAGCTATGTGTTATTTACATACTGTCTTACGCATACTCGCAGTAATCAAGGTTTTTTTTTCCTCTCCTGTTGTTGTCCGTTTTATACCTTATAGTGTGTGATTACACGAGGTGAAGACATAGCGATGAAAAGTTTGTTGGCTTTGTTAGGAACTATTGAATTTGTCTGAATCTTACAATCACTTATATATAATTTAACACCAAACACACTATACTGTATTAAAGGTTTGTTTTCTATGAGTCATGTTTAATTATATTTTAGTACACATAGACTGTCAAGTAAGTGCTTGGAACGAATGGGGTCCATTGAATGCCGAAGGTATATCTACAAGATTCAGAACAATTGTTACAACTCCTCTAAACAACGGTGATCCATGTCCACCATTACAACAAACTAAAGCAGGTATGCCATTCCACCATGAGAACAAGCTAAAGCAGGTATGACATTCAACCATTACAACAAACTAAAGCAGGTATGAAATTCCACCATAAGAACAAACTAAACCAGGTATGACATTCCATGATAAGAACAAACTAGAGCAAGTATGACATTCCACCATAAGAACAAACTAGACCAGGTATGATATTCCACCATAAGAACAAACAAGAGCTGGTATGATATTCGACTATAAGAACAAACTAAAGCAGGTATGATATTCCATCATGTGAACAAACTAGAGCAGATATGAAATTCCACCATGTGAACAAACTAGAGCAGGTACGATATTCCACCATGTGAACAAACTAGAGCAGGTACGATATTCCACCATGAGAACAAACTAAAGCGGGCATGACATTCCATCAGAAGAACAAACTAGGGAAGGTATGCTATTCCACCATAAGAATAAACTAGAGGAGGCATTACATTCCACCATGAAAACAAACTAAACCAGGTATGATAATCCATCATGTAAACAATCTAGAGCAGGTATGACACTCCACCATGAGAACAAACTAGAGCAGGTATGACATTCCACCATAAGAACAAACTAGAACAGGTATGATATTCCACCATAAGAACAAACTAGAGCAGGTATGACATTCCACCATGAAAACAAACTAAGGCAGACATGACATTCACCATAAGAATAAACTAGAGCAGGTATGACATTCCACCATAAGAACAAACTAGAGCAGGTATGACATTCCACCACGAAAACAAACTAAAGCAGGCATGAAATTCCACCATAAGAACAAACTAAAGCAGGTATGACATTCCACCATGAAAACAAACTAGACCAGGTATGACATTCCACCATAAGAACAAACTAGACCAGGTATGACATTCCACCATAAGAACAAACAAGAGCTGGTATGATATTCGACTATAAGAACAAACTAAAGCAGGTATGATATTCCATCATGTGAACAAACTAGAACAGATATGAAATTCCACCATGTGAACAAACTAGAGCAGGTACGATATTCCACCATAAGAGTAAACTAGACCAGGTGTCACATTCCACCATACGAACAAACTAGAGCTGGTATGATACTCCACTATGAAAACAAATTAAAACAGGCATGACATTCAACCATAAGAAAAACTAGAGCAGGTACGACATTCCAACATAAGAACAAACTAGAGCAGGTATAACATGCCACCATGAAAACAAACTAAAGCAGGCATGACATTCCACCATACGAACAAACTAGAGCAGGTATGACATTCCACCATGAAAACAAACTAAAGCAGGTATGATATTCCACCATAAGAGTAAACTAAACCAGGTGTGACGTTCCACCACGAAAACAAACTAAAGCAGATATGACATTCCACCATAAAAACAAACTAAAGCAGGTATGATATTCCACCATAAGAGTAAACTACACCAGGTGGGACGTTCCACCATAAGAACAAACTAGAGCTGGTATGATATTCCACCATGAGAACAAACTAAAGCAGGTATGATATTCCATCATGTGAACAAACTAGAACAGATATGAAATTCCTCCATGAGAACAAATTAAAGGAAGCTTGACAATCCACCAGAAGAACAAACTAGAGCAGGTGTGATATTCCACCATAAGAACAAACTAGACCAGGTATGACATTCCATCATTACAACAAACTAAAGCAGGTATGGTATTTCACCATGAGAACAAACTAAATAAGGTATGATATGCCAATAAGTGAGCGTTTTGTTGAGAGAGAGAAAACACTATTTCCTCTTGCAATTGCTTACATTACCATGGCTAATTGTATCTGTAATTGTAGTGCCAGTTAACTGTCTTGTCACGGTTTGGAGTGTTTGGAGTCCTCATGATAGCCAAGGGGTTTCGCGAAGAGAGCGATTTGTAACACAGCGACCATTAAATGGAGGGGAAAAATGTGAACATCTTATCGAAACAAGATTAGGTACGTACTATATGTCCAGTTTGTCTCCTAAACATGCAGATTTAATAGGAAAACATTTCATTTCTTATCCAAACAATATCAGGTATATGACAAAAGTGTCCCTTTCATAGATATAAGAAGATGTGGTATGAGTGCAAATGAGACAACTCTCCATCCAAGTCACAATTTGTAAAAGTAAACCATTATAGGTCAAAGTACGGCCTTCAACACGGAGCCTTGGCTCACACTGAACAGCAAGCTATAAAAGGGCATAGTTTACATAGGTTTTAATAATCGTAAGTTTGAGACATTATATACGATTATTCAGAAAAAAATCGATATATATATATGAAGCTTTATTGTTTTTTGATTTTTCTAAAGCGTTTAATTCTTTGGAATGGCCTTTATTGTATGGTGCTCCACTGAAATACAGCACTTTTTCATAAAATCCGAAAAAGTTTATAACATTAATAACTCAAAATGATACCAAAGTCTGCATTTGAAACAACAGCTAGATATCCGAAACCTACAGCCGTCAACGTTGGATAAAACAGAGATGTCTGTTAAGTACTCCCATTTTTGTCGAGACTGAAAAATGTCGCAAAAACGATACATAGCAATCCTACTCTGCGTTGGCCGAGTTAACTCTTAGGTTCAATTCTGAGGTTAAAGTTTTTTAGACACAAATAACTTAATCAAACCTTTACAAAACTTTGACAGCTTTTTTATGATCAAAATACAGTATCCAGAGCGAAATTTTGTATTTTTTTTTCATTTTTTTGTATTTTACTGATGAAAGGATTTATTATTATTACAGTAAACATTAAGATTCAGTCTAGGTTTAAAGTTTTTTTACTACAATTGCTTTGTCCAACTTTCATAAAATATTACTAAATTTGGACAGAAGCTTATTCAAGATCACGAAATAGCATCTGAAGAAAGAAGTTCGTTAAACCTATTTTATGTGTTTTTTTTTCATATTTTACTGATACATGGAATTAGCTTTTCAACATTCCACTTTAACACTGACAGCAAAAAAAAACCCGATACTTTCTAGGTTCCACAGAACCCCTAAAGGATTGTTGTTTTAGTTGAAGCTCTGGCCTGCAGAGCAAAACAAGACCTAAATTCAAAGGTTTTCGATTTAAAAACAAAGATAAAACTCACTGTATCAAAATTTACATATTTGCTGACGACACATGGTTTTATGTCTGGTCAGAAATGTTTTTTCGACGATATCAATCAAATTATTTTTTTCAAAATTTAACAACATAACGTATGGGGAAAATCTGGATTCAGAATATTTTTTTTGTCATCTGCTTGACCACAATATTTTTTTTCATCAAATTGGGGATCAGAATATTTTTTTTAGGAAAAAACCATACCCCCCCCTCCCCCTTTGAAGTTAAATGATCGTTTCTTAATGTTTTGTGAACTGTTTTCTTTTGTTGTTTGTGGCCATACGCATGTATGTTTATTTTCGACTTATGGGTATTGATTACCCCTTGGTATCAACTCTACGTTTTCCAATTCATAAAATGTATGCTAAATGATGTTCCATGTTTGTGTTTACTTTGTTTCAGTGAATATAAATTGTCAAGTCAGTGCTTGGAATACATGGGGTCCAATCAATTCCAAAGGCATTGCTAGACGCTTTAGAACTATTGTCACAGCTCCCTTGAATAAAGGTGATCCATGTCCGCCTTTAGAGGAAACAAAAGCAGGTACGTTTTATTTCTAAAAAGTACATATATCTCAAATGGAACTTAAAACCAATTGGTGTACTAAGCCATTATATCCAGTTTTTCATGTATTAGGTTTGTAATAAAATAAATAAAGTTAAAATATTTCCTATTGAACAATTTGATACTGTCAATCGGATACGATTTGTTGCTTTCTTGTGACTTTTGGTGAACTGAAATAATAGTTGAATAAGTTTTTTTTTGATAAACCCACCATGCATTTTAGTTACGATACAATATAATAAAAATGTAAAACTTATGTTAATATAATTGAGCTGCGTCGGATAGAAATCAACCTTATGCAAATGAATATCAATACATCTGTTAACCTATTTCGTGTTGAAAAAAATCTCTACGGAAGGTCTGTAACTGTTTGAAAATTGAGTTGGTATAAGAAGGTCTGGATGGGGGTCTTTTATTTCTGTATATTCTTTAAATGTTTAGGCAATTTTTCTCTATTCTTTATTTTTTGGACCATTATACCCTATTCTTCATATTTCAGCACCATGTTATTCTCTTTTCTTTATTTTCTTGGCCTATTTTTCTGTAATCTGTATTTTCTTTGTCCTTTATTCTGCTTTTTTTTTGCAATTATTCTCTATTCTGTACATCCCATTTAGACCCTCGTATAAGAACCCTACAAAACAGACCAAAATTGCTCTTATATTACATATTTGAATGTTCCAAAATCAATCAAAGTCTTATACATGTACATGAATACGTGCACTTGCATAAGGTCGATTTCTATCCGACGCAGCTCAATTATGTCTTTGGTGGCGATCATCTTTTTATTTACCTCTCATCTTAGAAATAATGTTTGCATACATTTAATGCTCTTGGCTTAATTTCTATTTTTGATGTTGTACATAATGTGTTATTTCTTTTATGTGAGCCATCTTATTTTATGAATATTTTACTTGTCTGTATATATTCATTGCATATGCTGTTAGACGCATTTGTTGATTTGTCTGCAAGCGCCCCCGTTGCCAAGGGGTAGTTTTTTAATATATATATAGCATTGCGCAGACACCTTATCCCCTCCTCTAACTACTGTTGATACTTGTCTGTACATATTCATTGCATGTGCTGTTAGTACAGGTTTCAGCCCCGCTCGGGGAGGAAGTAAAGAAACAGATCTACTCTAGGTTGATTTCAAGGCACTTTTACATATTCTAACGCCTGGTATTTCTTAATCATAAGAAATCCGATGGACAAAGTATAATATGCAGTCACTACACATAGGCAGACATATATATATATATATATATATAGTCAACTAAGTTTTTTTTAAATATACTTTTCCACCTTTTTTGGTCTTTTGGAAAATGTGCTGTATTTAGACCCCTCTAACAAGAAATTTGTTTTGCATGCACACGTATAAAAATTGCGGTTTTATACAACGCAATCATAGGTTTGAACGTTGTTTTCAATTTAGACTTGTTTATATTTTTTTGTTTGGGCTTGTATTGTATTTGCCTTCGGGTTTATATGGCTTTCCAAATACCATTTCGATTCCTAACATCACTGAAGAGACAATAATTGTCGAAATCCGGATATGGTGTATAAAAAAACTTTGCACCTTTTGTTTGCAGTATACCACTTTTTCCACAAGTTTTTTGTTTTCTGTTTAGTATTAAATTTATAATTAAGATCCATTTTTACATCGGTGATCCGTTTATTTGGCAATCGCCAATGGCAGTCAACAGGGTTTAAGAACATTTGTTGTTCGACCTGTTAGTCAAATGCGTTTTGTTAAAATATACTTTTTCCCTTTTTTGGTCTTTTGGAAAATGTTGTTTGTGCTGTATTTAGACCTCTCTAACAAGAAATTTGTTTTGCAATCTTTTGTATAAAAAGTACCATGCATCCATTATATTTCGATGAATTAGTAGCCAATTAATACTTACGACAATTATTTTAGATTGTTAGAAAAATGTGACAAATGTCTATGAAATATTCTTTAATAATTTTTTTTCAGTACCAATTAACTGTAAAGTAACGGTTTGGAGTGAATGGGGTCCATTGGATGATAGTGGTATTAGCAGAAGAGAAAGAACAATTATTGTGAAGCCTTTAAATGGTGGAAAGATATGTCCTGTATTAAAAGATTCGAAAAACGGCATGTATTTTATCATAGGCAGTAACAGTGAATCAAAGTCTGTCAACAGTCATTCATCATTATCTAAAATGTATTCTAAAGTCATATGATACTTCAAATTTAATAAAAAAAAACATTGAATAGTTTTATATACTTGGATGCCTAATTTTTACTATTAAACACGTGTACATGGACTTTTTTAAAAGGAAGTCCTTTCTCATATCAACATCTTCAGAAATGTACTGTTATTGAATTATTTTGTTCGTGCACTCAAATTCACCGATAGCTTTTCCGTTTGAAGTGCCCTTAACAACAAACCTTTCATCAGTACTTCGGCAACCATACAGTACAAGTGCGAGGGGAAAAGCGTGATGAAAGAAAAGGTTAAACAAACGTGGAAGGTAGATAGTGTTAATTGATTCTGAGAGAAATCAAAAATAATACAGCAAATCATTTGACAACTGGTATGACAAGATTTAATAAAAAAAAAATAGAAAAGCATGTATATCACTTACTTTTCACGTGCTCCATGATTCTATGTTGATTGTTTATTAAAGTCACGTTTGGTAAACCTCCGCAATAAATCACAAAAGTTAATTAGCAGGTAAACTTTTCACTGAATGACATTTTTTTTTTGTGGATTATATGTTTTAGATTCGTAATAAATTCTAAAATATCGTGCATAGAGAATTTAGTTTAGTATATTTACATGCGTTGGCTCAATAGTTATCTTAATATTATAATTTCAATAATTGTCTTAACATTATTATTTCAAGAAACTCGTTACATCTGACTCTAAAGAAACTTTATAAATCGTTTTGAGTGATTGTTAATTACATAAAAAAAAACTTATGAAATATCAAAACAAAATGATCCTGAAAAGAAAACAACAGTTAGTACACAGGTTTGAATATGATATCTACTTTTGATGAAATGAAAAACACGAGTCTGTATTTCGATTTTTTTGTAACTTAATTTAGTCTTCTTTAAAAGTACGACCTTATTAAGATAACCACACAAAAAAAGCTAGTATGTCAGAAGAGTATGATTAGAACAACATTCAGAAAAAACACTATCTATATATTTGTAACTAAACCATTGTTTCAATCAAAGAAAATGAAATGACGATTTTTTAAAATAACGCAAAGCCTTTTTTGCCATCAGTTTATATTGTACAAGTTAGTAGCTATATATATAATCTAGGAATTTCAGACATTAAACAAATAATAAGTGTGTGCCTTTTTCCTTCTGTTTTTTTTTTGTAATTGATTACATTACCACGGCTAATTGTGTCTGTTATTGTAGTGCCAGTTAACTGTCTTGTCACTGTTTGGAGTGTTTGGAGTCCACATGATAGCCAAGGGGTTTCGCGAAGAGAGAGATTTGTAACACAGCGACCTTTAAATGGAGGGAAAAAGTGTGAACATCTTATCGAAACGAGATTAGGTACGTACAAAATGTCCAGATAGTTGCCTAAACATGCAGATTCAGGTCTATGACAAAGGTGTCCCTATCATAGTTAACATAGGTCTTAACAATCATAAATTTGAGACAATATATATATATATATGATTACTCAGAAAGATTCGATATACATGAAGATTAACTGTATATTGATTTTCTAAAGCCTTTAATTCTTTGGAATTGCCTTTTCTGTATGAATCTTCACTAAAATTTGAAATAAAGCACTCTTTCACAAAATTGGTAAACAGTTTATGATATTTATAATTCAAAATGATACCAAAGGCTGCATTTGAAACAACAGCTAGATATCTGAAACCTACAGCCGCCACCGTTGGATAAACAAAGGCAACAGTAGTATACAGCTGTTCGAAATTCATAAATCGATTGAGATAAAAACAAATCCGGGTTACAAAATAAAACTGTGGGAAACACATCAAATATAAGAGGAGAACAAAGACACAACAGAAACACTAAAATGCAACACACACAGAAACGAACTATAAGATAACAATAACAGTTTTCCTGACTTGGTACAGGACATTTTAAGAAAAAATGGTGGGTTGAACCTGGTTTTGTGGCTAGGCAAACCTCCCGCTTTAATGGCAATGTTTAAATATAACACTAAAATGACAACATTACATGACAGAACTACAATACAAATAAATGGAAGAACATACAGGACAGAAAAACACACAAATGAACAATACAATAGAACATTACGACAAGCTTACAGTTATTAAAGGTGCAAGGCCTAAAGATGAATAGCATTGATGGCCCAAAATTCCAAAAAGTTGTGCCAAATACGGTTAGGTTATCTGCCTGGGATAAGAAAATATTTAGTATTTAGAATAATTCATATTTTTGCAAACAGTAAATTTATAAAATATAAAAACGACCATATAATTGATATTCATGTTAACACCGAAGTGGTGACTAACTACAGAATAAAAACGAATACGCAAAACAACCTAGATCAGCACATAAAACAGCACAGCCGAACAACGCATTGTATGTCAGCCGAATAGATCGACGCACAAAAGTGACGTCACAGGTAAATTTCTAAAAAACTCCAAAAAATAGGATAGAGTTCAAGATTAGGTTTGTAATACTGATATCACATGTATTTAATAACAATGAAAATTACAATACTAATTAATATAAAATTGTGTTAGTAATTAGATAATTAATTGTATTATCTAGCTATGTCGGTATTTCGATAACACAGAAATGCCCTTTAAGTACTCTCATTTTTATCGAGCCTGCAAATTATCACGAAAGCGATACATAGCAATCCTACATTCCGGCATCTTTGCCGTCTTCGGCGGAGTTAACTCTTAGACTCAGGCCTGAGGTTAAAATTTTTTTAGACACCAATAACTTTGTCAAACCTGTATGGAATTATACACTTTTACACCAACGGCAAAAATGATACTTTCTAGGTTCCACAGAAACCTTAAAGAATTGTTGTTTAAGTTGTCGAAACCCTGGCCTGCAGAGTCAGACAAGATCTAGATTCAAAGGTTTTCGATTTAAACACAAAGATAAAACTCACAGTTTCAATTTACATATTGTTCGACGACACATCTCTTTTTCTAAAATTTAAAAACACTAAATTAGTTTGGCATTAAATCCAATAGAAATATTTGGAACACTTTCGACTTTAAAACGCAATACATGTTGAACTGATGGTATTTGGTTAGTTAGACTCCATGGTTTTTAAGAAAAAATAGAAAACCGATAAAAGGTTTGGTTTCTTTTTTAAGTTCAATAGAGACAGATGGGACACAGTACATATTTGAAAAGAAAGGAAAAGGGAATTTCACAATGGGAGGTCGAATTACAGTTGTTACTTATCATAGTTTTATAGTCTCTTATTTTACACAATCTATCATCCTTAACATCAGTTGTTTGCCTACCATAGAACTATATTAAAGACTTTAAAAACACTTATGTACATTATTACATGGAATATTAAACAAAAAAAGCGAAACGATCAAACCTAAGTAAGGATTTTCTAAATGGAGGTCTGAAAATGACAGATATTCTTTTGCTGATTTCTTCACTTCACTACATATCTCATATCTTTAAACGTTTAACTACAAAGGATTATATTTTTGTCATCTGCTTGACCACAATATTTGTTTACATCAAATTGGGGATCAGAATATTTTTTTTCAGGAAAAACCCATACCCCCCTTGAAGTTAAATGGTCGTTCCCTAATTTTTTGTGAAGTTTTCTTTTGTTGTTTGTGGCCATACGCATGTATGTTTATTTTCGACTTATGAGTATTGATTACACCTTGGTATCAACTCTACGTTTTCCATTTCATATGCCTGTAAATTTATCCTAAATGACAAAAAATACCATCACAAGTAAAACTTCTTTTTATTTAGCACAACATGTCAGAGTTTACAGCAATATGAGATGCACAGTATCAATAACTGTCATTTGAAGCAACCACAACCTTATTACACCACTCACGTTCCATGTTTGTGTTTATTATGTTTTAGTGAATATAAATTGTCAAGTCAGTGCTTGGAATACATGGGGTCCAATCAATTCCAAAGGCATTGCTAGACGCTTTAGAACTATTGTCACAGCTCCCTTGAATAAAGGTGATCCATGTCCACCTTTAGAGGAAACAAAAGCAGGTACGTTTTATTTCTTAAAAGTACATACATCTGAAATGGAACTAAAAAACATTTGGTGTACTTAGGCATTATATCCAGTATTTTATGTATTTGGTTTGTAATAAAATAAATAAAGTTAAAACATTTCCTGTTGAGCAATTTGATACTGTCAATCGGATACGATTTGTTGCTTTCTTGTGACTTTTGGTGAACTGAAATAATAGTCTTATAAGTTTTTTTTAACAAACTCACCACGCATTTAAGTTACAATACAACATAATAAAAAAATGTGAAACTTATGTAAATATAATTGAGCTGCGTCGGATAGAAATCAACCTTATGCAAATGAATATAAATACATCTGTTAAACTATTTCGTGTTGAAAAAATCTCTACGGAAGGCTGTCACTGTTTGAAAATTGAGTTGATAAATTTTTAAATGGCAGCTGATTAGTAGTATCAAATCATTACTATACAATAAATACTCGTGATATTTAAAAAAATCGCATAAACCTTTGTCGAACTTATTAGACATATTAAAAAGTACAATGCATCCATTATATTTCTATAAGCTCTTAGCCAATTAATACATACGACAATTATTTTAGATTGTTTGATAAATGTGCAAATTTCTATGAAATATTCTTTGATAACCTTTTTTTTTTCAGTACCCATTAACTGTAAAGTAACGGTATGGAGTGAATGGGGTCCATTGGATGATAGTGGTATTAGCAGAAGAGAAAGAACAATTATTGTGAAGCCTTTAAATGGTGGAAAGATATGTCCTGTATTAAAAGATTCGAAAAACGGCATGTATTTTCTCATAGGAAGTAACAGTGAATCAAAGTCTGTCAACAGTCATTCATTATTATCTAAAATTTATTCTAAAGTCATATGATACTTCAAATTTAATAAAAACGTTAAATATGTTTTATTTACTTGTATGCTTAATTTTTACTATTAAACACGTGTACATGGACTTTTTTTCAAAGGAAGTCCTTTATCTTATCAAAATCTTCAGAATCGTACTGTTATTAAATTATTTTTTTCGTGTACTCAAATGCACCGATAGTTTTTCCGTTTGAAGTGTCCTTAACGACGAACCTCTCATCAATACATCGGCAACCACACAGTACAAGTGCGAGGGAAAAAGTGTGATGAAAGAAAAGGTTAAACAAATGTGGAAAGTAGATAGTGCTAATTGATTGTGAAAAAAACCCAAATAAAACAGCAAACCATTTAACAACTGGTATGACAAGGTTTAATAAAAAAAAATAGAAAAGTATGAACAATATAAAAAAATATATACATCGCTCTATTGCATGTATATCACTTACTTTCCACGTGCTCCATGATTCTATGTTGATTGTTTTTTAAGGTCACGTTTGGTAAACTTCCGCAATTAATCACGAAAGTTAATTAGTAGGTAAACTTTTCACTGAATGACATATTTTTTTTGTGGATTATTTATTATGGATTCGTAATTAATTTAAAATATCAAACATACAGTTTAGTAAATTTACATGCGTTGACTCAATAATTGTCTTAATATTATAATTTCAATAATTGTCTAAACATTATAATTTCACGCAACTCGTTACATCTGACTCTAAAGAAACTTTATAAATAGTTTAAGTGATTGTTATATACATAAAAAAAACTGATGAAATATCATAACGAAATGATCCTGAAATAAAAACAACAGCTAGTACACAGTTTTGAATATGATATCTACTTTTGATGAAATGAAAAACACGAGTCTGTACTGCGATATTTTTGTAACTAAATGTAGTCTTCTTTAAAAGTACGACCACATTAAGATAATCACACACAAAAAAGCATCTCAGACGAGTATAGTAAGAACAACATGCAGAAAAAAAACACTATCTATATATTTGTAACTAAACCATTGTTTCAATCAAAGAAAATGAAAAGACGATTTTTTAAAAATAACGCAAAGCATTTTTTGCCATCAGTTTATATTGTACAAGTTAGTAGTTATATAAAATCTAGGAATTTCAGACATTAGACAAATAATAATTGTGTGCCTTTTTCCTTCTATTTTTCTTGATACGTGAAATATATTGGTCTGATAATGTCTTACCCTAACAAAGAAAACAGAAACCTGTATGGTCATTATTTGTAAATTTCCAATACATGTATTTTAACACGTATTTACACAGGCTGTATCCAAAATATCATTTGATATATAAATCCCACAACCCCAAGGTTTGATTTAGGTATAAAAAAATGGTCACCACGAAACTTTTAACGTCCATTAAAACCCCTCACTAAACCAGTGAGTATGTATGCTAGGCTTTGCGTGATGTATAGATAAGCTGATCGGAATGGGGATGTGAAATGCGTTGCCTCGTGTAGGGAGAATACAAGGTTCTATCTCTCTCTGTACGTTAAAGAACATCGTAACAACCATTTTGGTGTCCATATAGATGACCTTGTGTATGCACAATTTCTGCCCCAAACCAACATTATCTTATTTTTAACTTGGCAGTTCAAATTTCAAGCCATTCATCCTTATCATGCAGATACTAGCTATTGTAATTGCTAATTGATAATTCTCGTCCTGAAAATACATGTGTTTTTTTTCCACTGGACGTTTGCAAGCATCAATCAATCAACCAGTTAAGATAAATGCAATGTTCACAAAACGCATCTCTACCCTTGTTAGTGTTTTCCGTAATTTTTGTTTTTGTTTTAGTTTTGATGGAAACCTTTTTGTGTTTTGAATAAAAATTATTGATCTTCTTTCAAACCAGAAAGTGGATTAGTTTGCTCAAAAGTTTGACATGATAATTTTTCAGACTACATTGTATCTATTAAATGGTGTTTCGTACTACCTGTTTATTGGTTCTTCATTCTTTGGTACATCCACATGAATTGATGAAGTTGATATAACACTGTAATAGTAGATGTGTTATTAATCCACTTAAGCTTCTAAATTAATTGATGAATTATATTTCAAACAGTACCAGTTGATTGTATAGTCAGTCTGTGGAGTACATGGAAACCACACGACAATACAGGATTCACATACAGAGAGCGTTATGTTATTCAGGAAAATCTGAATGGTGGGAAAGAATGTCCTAAGCTCAGAGATACTAAATATGGTAAGAGACATTTGTTATAATGGAACAAAAAGACTAGGATCAGCTACCTGTCCAGTATACTATTTTATTTTATCATACTCTGCGTTTGCTCATTATTTATTCTCTTTTCGCTTGTTACTTGAATTCCCTAAAATGGTATGAACAGATATGATGTTCTATGTTTTTAACCTTTTTAAAGGGATTGCATCATCTTTTCTCTACATATTTACAAGTGATCTATTGGACAAAGGCTTCTTATTTTACAGACGCCACCATGATTTGGTTGATCGTTATAGAAGATATGTATCACATGCAGATGACAGCGGATATGATCAAATTGTTGAAGCCACACTCCTGTCCTCCTTTCCTTGTTTTCCTTGATCGTAACATTGAACTTAACACCAAATTGTTACTTGCCATGAGCAGCAGGACAGATGTCCCTAGTGGAACTGGATTAGTTTACTCTTCCACCGCACTCACTATCACCTACCTCTGAATTTTAGTATGATTTATTTTGCTCAGTCTTGGCTTTTGTGTCTAGTGTATTGTAGTTTGTTTATTTGTCTATTCGTCGTTTTTTTATGCATGGTACCGTTGTCATCTGTTTTTCTTTTAATAATGATTTGAATTGTCCCCTCCCCGCCTTCTAGTCCAATTTCTCCTTCGTTTGCTTGACCTTCGTCATTCATATTTCAATATAAACGCATGATACCAAAGTTTCAGTGATTCTAGAACTACCGTCATCAGATTCGTTAGAGACTTACAGTTGCTTGGAACATCTATATACATATCGAATCCATATTTACATAAAATCATTTCATATGTAATAATGTTAATTGAATGCCATATAGCTGCCAGTTTACATTTTATTCAATATTTTAGTACCAATAATATTGATAGTGAGTAGGTCGGGTGCCTATGTTTATCCATATTAAATAGTTATTTATTGTTTCAGTACCAATAGATTGTGTAGTGAGTGAATGGAGTGCCTGGACTCAACCAGATGAAGGTGGTAATGTTGAATCATTCCGTACAATCCGCGTAAAACCATTGAATAATGGAATGAAGTGCCCAGATTTGTGGCAAAAGAAGAAAGGTGATTTTGGTTTATTTTACTTTTATTCAGTCATCATGGTTATGAATATGACCAGAAGTGTGTACGATACATTTATAGGAAAAAATTCCATCACAAATCAATAAATGAGACTCGAGTAATGAAATTGAAATTTACAGTTTTGTTAAAGTTAAAGTTATACGTATTCACAGAAGTTTACCTTTTTATTGTTTTTAAATTGTATATTTCAACACGCGTAAAGTTTATTTATTGCACTCTTTGCGGTTTATAATCTCGATGTTGTTTTTTTTACATGTGTAAGAATTTACATTTACATGTACATTCGCGTCAAGATAACGAGGGGTTCATCTGTTGAATCAAGTAACAAAGAAACGTATGGTAAAAACCCATTAAAGATATCAGGCTCTTAATTTTGTACGCGAGACTCGTGTGTCGTCTACATGACTCATCCGTAACGCTCTAGTCAAAATGGTACAGGTCGAATTGTTATCTTCAACAACAGATTAATGTCTATATTTCAAAATCTAAATTGTCAGAGTCTAAAGATGTGAAATAATGTAAGTGGGATGGAGTAAATTTTGTAAACAACCAACACCAATAATCTTGAGAAGCAGGTTTATTGAATGTGATTGACATGCAGAAAAATATTCTTGGGCTTCAAACGGGGGTACGGACACGCCAACGTTACAGCAATGAATAGAAAAAACAAACGTAAAGACGACTTAACTAGTTCGGGTGCACATGTACAACAATCAGGTTAACTGGATTTTGTACTGTTCTTTAGATACTTATGTGCTAGCGTGTATTTATAGATAATTGAATAAATATTGATATAATTTTGTAATTGGTATTTAATTTCTTATTTGAATTTACTTTAAAGTAAAAAGAATATACGGATATGGTTTTATTCAAATTTGCCGTAATAAATTTCGAAATCATTTTAAATTCAGGACTGTATCTCCCTCTGCCAGCAAAGTTCTGATTCCTTGTATTGGTTTGACTTTACTTTCAGTCCTATTGGTTTTATCAGCTCCTCAGCGTTTGTAATGGTTTGACTTTACTTTCAGTCCTATTGGTTTTATCAGCTCCTCAGCGTTTGTAATGGTTTGACTTTACTTTTAGTCCTATTGGTTTTATCAGCTCCTCAGCGTTTGTAATGGTTTGATTTTACTTTCAGTCCTATTGGTTTTATCAGCTCATCAGCGTTTGTAATTAGTTTGGGATTTTCAAATAATTTGGCCTCGAGCATCACTGGAGATACATATATTGTCGACATATCTGGTTTAGGAAAATTCGTACTTTTAATATTGTTACATTATTTTTCATGTACTAGTGCCTTTGGATTGTTTGGTCGGTGAATGGACAAAATGGAGTGAGAGAGACAAAGACGGTAAAATTACCAGGAGACGTGATGTTCTAAGATATAACCTGAATGGCGGGAAAAAGTGTCCTACACTAGAACAAACACAGCTGAGTATGCATTCTAATAGTCTCAATAAGTATCATTCAATCACTTTATACAACACAATTATGCTGTTGTTTGACAAAATAGGAGTACTATAATTCTAATTGCAAGCAATAGCGGATCACTCAAAACTTGGTTTCCATGTCATTTGAACATTTCAAACACTATCACACACTATCACACACCACACACATACGCAGAGCTGAAAAAGTTCATTAAAACAAGAATTGTTCCCTTTTTTGCTATATCCATGACAACAGTATCTATTTTGAATATTCCGAAGCAGATTGCACATCTGCAAATGGCGGGTTTAAATTTCTGGAAGGTTTGAAATACTTTACGATTAAAGATTACGGTAAAGATCGATCAATATTTGCCAAGTAATCTCCACGAAATAAGCCGGACCTGAAGCGTTAAAAAATAATAATAAACGACGATTCCAATAACAATATGTCACCCCCTTTTCTGGGTGACATAACAAAATGAATATATGATACGATTTCAATGTGAATGACACATATTCATCAAAAAGCTTTCATCGGATACAATCAAGACCAACATTGTTTGCGGCAAGAAATGTTTACGTTTAAAGCATAAAAAACGAAAACGGCTTACACAGTACACTCAAAACCATCTAAGGTAACAGTTGCCAAAATGTTAATCTGCAGAGGCAGACGATGAAACAGCCTCAATGCATTCAGCCATAATTTTAACATTGAAAGAAATATAAATTAAAAACCGGCATACAAGTTTTGAATAGGAGAACATTTCAGTTTCCGTGAATTGTGAGGTTACACAGTGGACCCAATGGACAACTCCAGATGAAGGAGGAAACAGACTAAGAAGTAGAGTTATATCACAGCCTCCTCTGAATGGTGGTAACAGTTGTCCACCTTTGACTGATAACGATAAAGGTAAAATAAGTTAATCGACTTTCAATAAAAATGCTAGTTTTTATTCAAATTTCCATTTCATGTTTCATTAATATATATTGCCTTATATTGTACAATTTTTTTTCTCTAAAATATAAAGTTGTTTTCATTTGATCTTATGGAATACATAACTACTTTACTGTACATTAATTACATTTTTGTCATTTTCATTAAAAAAATATATTACTGGTATTAGGACATCTGAAAGTTTAACGAAAGAATTTTTACGAGATAGTACATGTTGTTGGAGTATCCTAAAGGCTAATTAAAATCAGTGAATATATCATAACCAAACAAAACCATAGACCTTAGAAAGTAAATCCAGGAAGTAAAATGTTTTTTTTTTTTTTAAGTTTCTTAAAAATATCCTTAATGTAGATATATTTGAATTTGTTAGATTCATTTTATGATAAACCAATGCAAAATATATTTTGAATTACTAGTACCTTTGGATTGCTTGGTTGGTGAATGGACAAAATGGGGTAAAAAGGACAAATATGGAAAAATAACAAGGACACGTGATGTTACAAGATATAACCTGAATGGCGGGAAAAAGTGTCCAACACTAGAACAAACACAGCTGGGTATGCATTTTGTTGTTAAAAATAATGTATCATTGAATCAATTTCTGCTAAATAATCATTTTACTGCAGCTGTTTGACCAAATATGTATGAAAGGGGAGAAAACAATACGAACAAAGAACGATGCATGTTTCTTTAATCACCCTATTCTACAGGCTTGAGATTAAACTTTGGAGAGTAAACAAAAATAGTATGTTTGAAAGAAAGCAAGATAACATACTACGGCTTAAAACATTCAAAACAGTCAATCAGTGGCGAAATGAAATGAAAATATCAAGGCAACAGTTGAGTAACATTTTATTGAAATAAAACAAATTGTAAATTGTTAACTTAATTGGATCACTTTTCAGTTTCTGTGAATTGTGAGGTTACAGAGTGGACGCAGTGGACAGTACCTGATGAGGGAGGGAACAGACGAAGAAGTAGAGTTATATTAGATCCTCCTCTAAATGGTGGGAAAAGATGTCCTCCTTTGACGGATAACGATAAAGGTAAAATAAACTATTTCAATAGAACTGTTGGTTTATGTTCTAAATGAAAATACTTTCACAAATTGTGACTTGGATGGAGAGTTGTCTAATTGGCACTCATACCACATCTTCTTATATCTATTATTTAATGTTAAGAAATTTATTTCGGTCTGCCACTATCCTTTGGCACTATGTTATAAGTATCGATCGGTGTTGAAACATCAAGTTGTCAATAAATCTATTTGTTACAAAATGTACGGTAAAATTTAAAGTATCAACTTGATAGGAATGAAGGTAAACGTGAGTAATACATGTATCTCAATAGAACATGTTTGTTGTTAACAGTATATTTCTTTTGATTACAGGTTTGTAAGATTTATAACTTAGAAAAATTCAAAAAGATATCGTTTAGGGGCAGTAAGTCCTATAAGATGCATATCCTCAAATTCAGTTAAGTTTACCTATTTGTAGATCTCCTCTTGCTAGAAAATTGAACTGATATAGTTTTTTTTCAATTTTCAATAAAAATTCTCAAGATAATAACCACAAACATTCAAAACTGAAAAAAAAATCATTTTAAGCAATAATTTCTATAATAAGTCGATTAACAATTTCGGAAATATTGACATATTTGTAGATCTTGGCCTTTTTTATAAACTATAAATTTTCGCTGTTTTTATTTCCCACTATCTATTTAACCTCGAGATAATTGAAAAAACCCGAAAAAAGGTTAAACAGAAAAGAAATGGAAGACATGTTAATACATTTTTGCCGTTTGAATTATATTGCAAAATCATATATGCAAAAAACGTATAAAATTTTTGATTTGAAGCTGATATGGATGAATCGTCATTTAATTGCAATAACTCCTGTCAGGAGTTTGATTAGCACTTCAGCTAGTCTTGACTTGTTTGTAAATCATGCTGTGCTAATAATTTTTGTTGTAAACAGTATATCTTCAGCTATTATAGTTTTCACAAAAGTAGCCAAAAACACAGAATTGGGTGAAGTATTTCTTTTCAGTTACGTTGATCTATTTGTTTAGATTTTATTTTGCAAACCAATTTTTGTTCTAACTATTTTCTCCCTATCTATTGCTGGTTTTGCCTAAAACGAAAAGATTGGTAAGTATGGGGTTTTAAGGGCGATGATTCCTATAAGGAGTCGACTGACAATTTTGCTCATGTTTATTTAAAATTTGTATATCTTGGTGCAGGTGGGTCGAGAGGTGCATTTACAGTGTTTAAATTTTGTTTACCCCTTGTCTTTATATTTTACTTAATTTGTAATTTTTAGAGAGAAAATGTATACTATATACTGTATGTACTATCAACTACAAAAACTGTTTTGTTGGCGTCATTGTCAGAGTTATTTGTATTTTTGTTTGAATTTGTTAGTAAGCTATAATATATTTTTACACATTTTGGCTGCTGGATCCCAATTATTGTCACATAACCTACTAGTATTATGTCTGTCTGGGTTGCTCACCCAACTTTGTCACTATAAGAGAACTATAAACAACTGTCATACAAGTGCTCGCTATAAAACCAGGTTTTCCAACCATTTTCTTCGGAAAATGCCTGTACTAAGTCAGGAATATGACAGTTGTTTTCCATTCGTCCCGTTGGTTGATAAAGTCTAACTTTTGATGTTGTCAGTTTATATGCACTTCCCTCTTCTTGAATCTTTACAATCTAAATAAGAATAAAGGAATCTGAAAAGAAAAATGTATATATTAAATTTTCTTAGCATCTTGTCCAACTGACTTGATTATTTAATTGTGTAGTATTCATTTTATGATTTGATAATGTGATATCTTTTAATGTACTAGTACAAATGGATTGCTTGGTTGGTGAATGGACAAAATGGAGTAAACAGGACAAAGATGGAAAAATAACAAGGACACGTGATGTTAAAAGACATGCTTTGAATGGCGGGAAAAAATGTCCACAACTTGAACAAACACAGCTGAGTAAGTATTTAAAAGTGCTATTAAGATGGGATTGCAGATGTTTTACCGAATATGTTAGACAGGAAAGAAAATGATAAACAAAAGAAAAAAATAATAATGATTTCAGTGCGCAAGACACTAGTTTCTGGAATCCCCAGATACGCTCGAGAGTTGTCTCGGATCACGTGGTACGCTCGGGACTGGTTTGGAATCACCAGATACGCTCGAGACTGGTCTGGGATGACCAAGGTACGCTCGAGAGTTGTTTGGAATCACCAGGTACACTCGGGACTGGTCTGGAATCACCAGGTATGCTCGAGAGTTGTCTGGGATCACGAGGTACGCTCGAGACTGGTCTGGGTTCACCAGATACGCTCGAGAGTTGTCTGGGATCACCAGGAACGCTCGGGACTGATCTGGAATCACCAGGTACGCTCGAGAGTTGTCTGGGATCACCAGGTACGCTCGAGACTGGTCTGGAATCACCAGGTACGCTCAAAAGTTGTCTGGAATCACCAGGTACGCTCGAGAGTTGTCTGGTATTACCGGGTACGCTTGAGACTGGTCTGGGATCACCAGGTACGCTCGAGCGTTGTCTGGGATCACCAGTTACGCTCGAGACTGGTCTGGATTCACCAGGTACGCTCGAGGGTTGTCTGGGATCACCAGGTACGTTCGGGACTGGTCAGGAATCACCAGGTACGCCCGGGTCTTGTCTATAATTACCAAATACGCTCGAACTTGTCTGGAATCACCAGTTACGCTCGAGACCGCCTTGAAAGACAACAATGTAAATATTCAATTATGAACACGGACTAAATTAAGAGTAAAAGAATAGCACAATTTGTGTACATTTATACTAAAAAATAAAAAAAAAATAAAAAAATAAAAAAAAATGCCACACATATTTTGAAATAAGATGACATTTCAGTTTCCGTGAATTGTGAGGTTACACAGTGGACCCAATGGACAACTCCAGATGAAGGAGGAAACAGACTTAGAAGTAGACATATATCACAGCCTCCTCTAAATGGTGGTAACAGTTGTCCTACTTTGACTGATAAGGATAAAGGTAAATATGTGATTTCAATGAAATAGCTTTATTTTAAAAGGAACTGATAATGATGTATGTAAATATGGAGATAATGAATGCGTGCCATAGAAACAATTATCCTGGAAATACCAAAAGAACAAAGATGTAAACAATAAAGATCGGCGGTCGTGTGGTCACTTTCCAAAATTACTGTATGCTTAAAAACTCATTTGGTTGTATCACGTTGACATGGTACTTGAGGTAATGAATATGAAAACAACTGAAACATGGTAACAATGCAATGTTTTAATAAATGGAATGTGAACTGTGCATATTTGAAACTGGAAAAATATGATTTAACTATTGGTTGAAAATATATTTTAACTTGATTTTAATAGTTGCGAGTACTTTATATAGGTACTCTGTGTTTTTAGATCGGTACTTTGTGTTTTTAGATAGGTACGTTGTGTTGTTTTTAGATAGGTACTTTGTGTTTTTAGATAGGTACTTTGTGTTTAGATAGGTACGTTGTGTTGTTTTTAGATAGATACTTTGTGGTTTAGATAGGTATTTTGTGTTTTTAGATAGGTACGTTGTGTTGTTGTGCTTCGTGCCGATATGATGAGTCAACCTCTTTCCAAATAAGTCTTACATTTTGTATCGTTGGTTTGATGCTACGCCACTGTCACATATATAAAGGAAGGGTTTAGCGGTCATAAATATGTTCATCCTTGCCATATCCTCAATATGTATGTTCCTAATCTTGAGTTCTTTAATTCAGAGGTTGTCATCAATTGATGTCTGCCATATTTGTTTTTCATCTATCGTGTTACTCAGGATGTTCGTTTTCCTATTTGAAAATTTGACATCTTGTCATGTCGATATAAGTGTTGCTCATTGTGGCGACTGTACGGTGAACCATATTTGTTTACATCCTCGTCTTTTTTGTGTGTTGCGGTTAGTTGGCTCATCGTAGAACCTTTTCTTATTTTAACATTATTAAATTTCATACAATTTAATCAAGAAATATAAACTAAACTAAATAAAATTAGTAGAGTAAACATCAAGAAGAACATTTTTCGTCGATATTGGCATCTTAAGCAGAATAACAAGGAGAAACTAAGTTGTCTATATGGACATTTGTAGCATATGAACATCTGGAGAATAATTTGCCGATTTCAACTCGACGTCGTCGATATCGCCAATTGTATCAGATGAACATATATCTAAACTCATTGAAAGAACAAATCAGTTGATAAAAATGTTAAGTGTATCATTGGAAATCGTACAATATATCCTTATTTTTACATTCCTTAATTTCACAGTTTAATTGAGGACATTAACTAAACTAGATGAAGTGATATGAATAGCGTAACAAATCATGAAAAAGATATCGATAGCTTAAATGGACAAACTAGGAAAAATTAAATTGTCTTTATGGATAATTGTATCACATAAAAAATGACTAAATTGTTTTGTAAACCTTTAGTTTCTAAATTTAACAATAGACATAAAAAGAATCAAACTGTTTTAGTAAGTTGTATGTGAATCTGCCAATATAACTGTTTTGTCTGTATGTGAAATCATAACTTACTTTACCCTCCTTTAAGAGTTCATGCGATTTCCACAATGTTTGTTTGATACCTTGATTTGCTTGATGAGATTTGAACATCGGTAAATTATCGTTGCCTAAATTTGAGATAATATTCTGGTTCCATTTCTATACCATCGCGTAGTAATTGAACAAATTCTACATCTTTATGTCGTAAAATGCTTAAAGTTACCAATAAACAAATAAAGAACCCAGTGGTTAGCACTCGTTTGCTGAAATAAGATATCATTGATTCGGTCTTCTTCTGTTTATTTACTGTTTATACAAATACTTAAGTCTATCGAAACATTAAGATTTTTAAGACCAGGACGATCAAGATTTGGGAGGAGTTTTTCGAATTTTCAATTTTCCTTTCGAATCATTACGTTATTCATTTGATCTTTTATTGCTTTCTTTCGAGTGCTATTGACATGATTGATGAGTCTTGTGTATACGAAGCACGCTTCTTGCTTACTTAAAAATGAAAACAACACGTAATAAATTTCATGCGTCCGAAGCGCTTTTCTGGATTTAACTTCATCAGGAACACTCAAAGCCGATTATTTGAAAGCCAAAGATGTAAAAAGACCTTAAATAATAAGTCTTATGTCGTTGATGCCTTTTTAGAACCGATAACTTTGTCAATATCATGTTATGATATTTTCTATAAAGTTGCATAACTATCAGTACACTTCAGTTTGACGACTGTTGCGAGGCCCTGTCCTCTAGGTCATGATCCAGTGACTTTAAATTTATTAGCATTTTTCAATGTCAAGGTTCTGCTTAAGTTAATTTGATAGGAACTACTTGTGATAGATCAATGATACTTTGTATAAAGTTGCGTTAACACCAGCACATATCAGAATGATTTCTATTTTGAGGCCCTGTCCCCTAGGTCATGGTCTAGCGACTTTGAATTAATTAGCAATGATGCTATCCATCAGATTGGGTTTTTTTTTAATTTTCTGGCGACAGGTGAGACATATCTATGCAGTTTATGCAGACAAATTAAACGTCCGGAATACTATGATATAAGCCAGTAATATTTGATGAATTACTATATAGCTTTGCATATTAACAATGATAAGATAACTTTTTTTCTATTGATGGAATCCACCAGACGTGTATCCATAAAATGGATCACACGTCTGTGTCAAAGAATAATTAGATAAATGAATATTTAAAATGTAAATAGCAAAACAAAAACAAGTGTCGGTTGAATCGTGATGACAGTTTGGACAGACACTTTATTTGGCGAGGTGGCCTTTAAAACATTTGTAGATATATGGTATTTTTACTAAAGGAACTATCGACCTAATGAATAAAAAGTCATATATTGGCCATGATATAACATGGAAGGACTAAAAGGTGTCTATTTTTTTCTAAATCTGAAGAAGAATAAAATACAATTTAATTTACGAAAATGAAAATACAAGTATAGTTTTCCAGGTGAGGAATTCAACGATTCTGCCGTTTGGTGGAAATTTATCTTCTCTATAAATGTTATTACACTTTTACTAATTGAAGTCAAGGTAAAACATATAGCTGATCAATTACACAATTCAATTGTTTAACAATAACCTTCTCATTTTTTTATTTGCGCATTGAAGATGTCGGTAAATCCGGAAAAAAAAACGCCTCAGAACAACCAAATGAATTAAGTGTTATTTTCATTTACGAGAGTTTTCATCAATATAAATAAAGGCAACAGTAGTATACCGCTATAGTATATACGTTACACATAGCCTATACATATACGTATCATTTGTATAATTCAAGATGTTTATATAATATAATACATGTTGTTCATTTGTAGTTGCATTATCATGCATTGTTAGTGACTGGACAACATGGAATCACCCAGATGCCCATGGTTTATGTACCAGAACTAGAAAAATTCTTAGACACTCAGTAAACAGTGGTACACCGTGTCCTTACACTACAGAAACTAAACGTGGTAAAATTTTAGATACTCTTACAAATTTAATATTGATGATTCAGGCATATTTATATTCTTTTTGTCGTCTTTTTGATAACCTGATTCTTTAACGATTATAATTGAAGAAAAAGAATAATTTATTGGCCTTGATTACAATAGGATGGACTAAAAAAACTTTAAAATTGAAAAATGAATATGATAAAAATGTCGAAAATATATTAAATATCAATATGATTTTTCCCCCAGTTGATCCATGTATATATCTTGTTACATATTTATCAATTACGTTACACATGCATATAAATAATGCTTCGATATAAAAGTACAAATGATACAATTTTCTACGTTTATTTTAATAACACATGTTTATAGTTTCAATTCCATGCATGGTTGATGCCTGGGCTGAATGGAGTCATCCAGATGACCAGGGTACATGTACCAGAACAAGAAAAATTCTTGTTAAACCTGTTAGTACTGGTAAACCTTGTCCTCCAACAACAGAGACTAAATCAGGTAATTTTTCTATTCTAAAAATACAAACTTCTTAATAAGATAATGTTTATTATGTTCATTACAAATTTTAGCGTACGATAATTTAGTAAGATTTTTTTTAAAGATATTTGTTTTTGTTTTTGTGGTCTCTTGGATTACTTGTTTCATTAACGATTACACCGCTCCCTTTTTTTAGTAAAGTAAGACATCAATAGTTTACCGATGTGCTAATGCCGTAAATTGATTAGAAAGAGACAGATCAAGGTAACAAACAAAACATGAGGGTATCGCACGAATCCTAAAGGGGGTGAGACCGGAATCGTCAACAGGGTAAGCGTCCCATGGTATGCATATATCAATGCGAATCCACACTCGGTAAAAAATGTCACAAACTGGAATATGACGCAATCGATAGAGTTACAGATTTATATTGGTATATTGAGGAATAAGCCTGGAAAACATGTCGCTAGTGATTTGAGACACCAACGCATCGTACCAGTCAACCAATTCGTGATGGTGACCGTACACCGTATGTAGTGTCGATTTCAGGAGAACATTTGTCTTTTAAAACTGATGTTCAGACTTTTTGTCCTGTAAGAGACTAATGCAACTAATACTTGTAATATTAGGAGGTATACCTAACAGAATTTCTTCGCTTAGCTTAGATTGCTATTACAAAGACATTTTTGCGTCATGGCGTCATCACTTTTAAGTGACTGTGATGCGATAACTTTTTGTTTTTTTGCTCTTAAATATTACTTCCGGTATTGCATTGCTTTTTATGTTGCGTTATCTGCTGCTTTTTATGTTTTATCAATTCCATGGCTCGAAAGCACTAAAAATCATGTTTTAAACTGTTATATTTTAAATTTACAGTTGTACTTGTAAGTCATATATTGACAGTTTGCGTAAAGAGAGTGCCTCGTGTAAAGAAAGTGCCACGCTCTTTGCACGTTAAGAACCCTTGCAACAACTCTATGAGGGGTCCGTAGGTGACCTGTTACAAGGCTAAATGTCTGTCCCTATCCAATATACCCTCATTTCCCGTGGCAGTCTAGATTTCTCCGACCTTAATCCCGGACGCCCCTATTACAGAACCTACCTATTGTATTTATTGTTTATTTGTTCTCGTCCTGAATATGCATGAAATATTTGCCACTGGACGGTAAGCAACCAACAATCAATCAATCCATGAGTTTGCCAATGTGGAAGATCTTCAATACGTATATTTGCGGGTTTATGTGTGTATATGGTGTTTAACGTCAAATGAGCAGTATTTCAGCTATATCACGTAAACAAAGTGTAGTAAATATAAGTTGTCTGCACGTCTGGCGTATTGAATTTCAAGCCTAGTACGTATACCTTTTGTTAGCTATTATTCGTGTGTTTCTTTGTCCTATGTGTTCTCCCATTTATTTGTATTGTGGTCCTGTCATGTGATGTTGTCGTTTTGGTGTTGTGTTTGACGTTGCCATAAAAGCGGGAGGTTTGGCATGCCACGAAACCAGGTTCAACCCACCATATTTTTCTTAAAATGTCCTGTACCAAGTCAGGAAAATGGCCTTTGTTATATTATAGTTCGTTTCTGTGTGTGTTACATTTTAATGTTGTGTTTTTGTTGTGTCGTTGTTCTCCTCTTATATTTGATGCGTTTCCCTCAGTTTTAGTTTGTAACCCGGATTTATTTTTATCTCTATCGATTTATGAGTTTCGAACAGCGGTATACTACTGTTGCCTTTATTTGGCAGTTAATATTTTGCAATACATGTATCTGTAAAAGAAAAATAGGAAAGTAGTCAATTTATCAGATTTTATATGTATAGCTTTCAGTATTCGTTGGTTAAATTAAATTTACTTAATTCGACTATAACAATAACAAGGTCAAACTTATAATTCTCGGGTCAACATTACATCGTCTGTTTGACAAAGCCGTTAGATGACCAATAGAAATTGCCTAGTTGTTAATAAAGGTGCAAGGAAATCCAATAATACAGTGCTCTGTATTTTTTTTCAAAATAAATCTGAAAATAGATCATCAACATATTGATGTTTTTGTAATAGTGAAAAGAGATTGTGTACTTGGTGAATGGGGTCAATGGACTAAACCTTTTGGATTTGGAACTATTGAAAGAATTAAACAGATTAAAAAAGAAGCATTTGGAGGAGGAGCACCTTGTCCAGTTGAAAGAGAAACAAAAAATGCACGTATGTATATCTAACTCCGAAAATTTGCTCTGGTTTAATTTGGCATAATGCTAAAATAGTTTACGTACTAAAGGGAGCTAATAAAAATGGCGCAATGTTTGCAATTGTTTCTATGACTCAAACTTTAATTAATGGTCAAATTTATTCCAAAGACGGGGAAATTGTATGGTACTTAAAAGTTGGTGAAGATGCTGTGAAAAAATTCAAACAAACGATGTCATATGTTACTAGTGTCTATTTCGGTTTAGTTTTTATTAATGTGTGTATTACAAGTTGTGATAACAGGTTTTATGATTTTTATATGACTTTTATGCTATCTTGATTCAAATTGAAAAGTAAAATGTCCGTACCTTCGAATATTGAGTTCAATTAACACAATTTTTGGCAGGTTTACTGTTCTTAGTTTTAACGGCATCACATCAATACGTAGTAATCATCTACCTATATCAATTGTTATTTCAATTTAGTATCTTTCTGTTTAAGATTATAGCTAAAAATAAGAATTACATGTACCTCAAGAAACTCGAGCAGATATGTCAAAACCTCTAATTTAAAACAAAGATAAAACTAGTGATAGAATTCATAAATTCGGAGACATTGATAATCTAAATATAAATATCGTTAGTAGTTTACTGTCTATTGTAAGGAATATGAAGAGTTTTACAGATAAAAAGTGCAGAAAGAGTAATAAATAAATAAATAACGTTGTTATAGACAATTAAATCTATATTTCTTGAATTCAATAATAGTTAATACATGTCAAAATACTATTACCCAACTTATTTTTTGTATGACTGTTCTAAGCCTGTAGTCCGGTTGCTGTCGTTGTTTGTTGTTTTTCATCAATTGTTTTTCGTTTAATATTATTAGATTAAATTGGTCCTTTTTTATAATTGTCATCTTTATGGCTTCCAACTTCACGGTATAGGGTTTTTGCTCATTGCAAACGGTCTCCTGTAGTTGTTTACACTCTTGTATTTGTTTTTTTGTGTGGATCTATGTCTCATTGGCCATCATTCTCCATCTAAGTTTATGTTGCAATACATAAGTTACTTTCAAACACCAACTCATCCATAAAAGATCTTCCGATGCGACAATTTTGATAATTTAGAATTTTTTTCGTTTTTGAAGCGAAAGGATATGTGCAATGGGTGATACATTGTTTGTTTTGATCTTAACACACGATTATAAATTTAAGAAACATGTTATGGAATATGTTGAATTGAAGGCAATTTATGTTGAAAATTTGTGACTAATGGTATTTATATTTTTTTACAACTTACAAAATATTTTATATAGCTATCACAACGACCACAACATCAGAAAATTTTGGAGTGAAGTTTGTTCGCCCACTTATACAACCACGTGACTTAGTTCTTCTAATTGATGGCTCTGGAAGCATAGGTGATGAGCCTTTTGCAAAAACGTTGGAAGATCTCTCAGAATTAATTGGAATGTTCTGTCCGCTAAGTGATCCATTGGACCCTAAAAAGAACCCCGGGAATTATATTCAACTATCTGCTATCTTGTTTTCAACTGACTCAGAACTTGTTTTTAAATTCAATAAATATCATAGCGTAAAACAGGCACAGAATGCAATCAAGGCAATTCATTATAATCCTGGTACTACATGTACAGAAAAGGCATTAATGTTAGGAGAAACAATGTTTACCGTTTCAAATGGTATGTACACTATGGTTTTAGGTGTTACTATAATTCGTTTCTAAATTAAAAATACTATAGTGTCAGTAAAATAGTAAGATCTTTCATACATAATAAGTTAATAAAAAAAATGAATCAATTTTAAGGGAATTTAAATGGCATATTCATGTCTACCAAATTGAGTAAAACCACAATGGCCTAAAAGTACAAAAGGACAAACAGGAAGAGCAAACAGTGCAAAGAAAATTCTGTGTGTGATACATAATTGATTTGATATTACCTCTATATAGTGACTACAAATCAAACCACTTAACCATTGTGACTGAGTAATATCATATGAAATATTCGCATGCTTTTTATAGATTAGAATTGTTAAGAGAGAGGCGAAGATACCTAAGGGACATTCGAACAAATAAGTCAAAAATAACATGCCAACGCCATGGGTAAAACAGAATACGACCAACACACAAACAACAGTACACAAACACAATAAAGAAAACTAAAGACTGAGCAACACGAATCCCACCAAAATCTGAGGGCGATCTCAGGTGCTCCGGAAGGGTAAGCAGATCCTGCTCCTCATCAGGCACCCACCGATTATGCATTCTTAAATCTGAAGATAGAATAGAGAATATCTGTATAAAAATTGAAAATTTCGACGTTTTTAGCTTGGTTTTTTTGTAGTAGTAGTATTTACGTAGTATTGATTTTGTTTCTTTTGCATACACCTTTGTTATGTGTATTTAGCTTGTTTACTTGACATCTTGGTGCCTTTTATTATTCGGTGGAATTCCTGTGGCAGATCCAGAAATATTTATGAGTGGGGGCTTACTGATTGCCTAAGAGGGGGCCCGCTCCAGTCATGCTTCAGTGATTCCCTATATATTCAACCAATTTTTTCCCACAAAAAGGGGGCCTTAAATCCGCCTCTGAATTCATATTGAAGTTTACCTGATCTTTGAATAACAGGCTGTGGTACTTCACCATCAAAGGTAAAAACAAATAACATTCAAGTGAAGGTAGTGGTTCATCTAGGGTAAAACAGGAACCATTAGATCAAAATACAGAAGATAATACACCAACTGGAAACATTATACTTTGCTATATAACAACAAAACATGGTAACAAAGCAACACACGAAAAGACCAATAAAAACTGCTACCAAAACAGAATTTCTTGCAATAAGGAATATGAGACGTGTGACTTAATCACCTATGCACTTTAAAAGTCCTGAAAGTTCGATAGAAATTCTATTGGCATTCATAATATCTCAACTCTAGTCGATTTTTAGTTATTTTGGTAAGACATACAAGCTAAATGGCATTAATTGTTTTGTATATTTCTACAGGAATGAGACAGAGCAAATCTGTGAAAAAGGAAGTTTTATTACTAACAGACGGTTTGTACAATTGTGACGGCGATAATGTAGTACTATCTGCAGCGCAGTCGTTAAAGAATGTGGCGGATGTTTATGGAATGATGATTGGTATATCAACAGATGATGGGCGAAAAAAGTTATCTAGACTTGTATCAGAACCGCAAAGGGATCATTTGTTTGCAGTTGATGATTTGGGACAGTTTTCTAAGTTAATCAAGCACTTAAAAGACCTCATACGCGATGGAAAATTAAATTGCGTTCCTTTTAAAGGTCCATTACCCAACTAAAGTTTTAGCGTAAAAATGCATTTACTGACTATCATAACAGCTTTTTAGAAATAAAAATATACTGGAGTAATAACGAGACATATTTTATTATGATATTATTTGAAGAAAAAGCCCGACTTTTTTATATCCATAGAGTCGACAGTTTCATAGTTTAAATAAACTGACACTAATAAAGGTGTTCATACTGAAAATTATATATATTTTGGAATTTCAGTACACATTAGTCACACGAAGATGAGCAATGAAACTAGAGGTTGTTTCGACTGTTTTCGGGTTATGTAGGTACCCATGTTTCTCAGCCCCCAAGTTAACCTTTGACTGGTATAAATCAGAGATTCTCCGCGCACACAGATATTCATGATTTTTACTGATGTACCTTTATCACGACAAAACATGTTGATATTACAAAGAAATAGTCTTTAAAAAGTTTTTCATGATATTTCATTGATAATATGAATATATATGAAGAGATGAAAATGGTACTTTCACTCGATAACGTCAGATCATTTACGCAATACAGTATTTTAAAAGTACAATTCAGAAGATCGATTGATAACCCAAAACATTCGAAACCTTTGTCCAATAGCATTACATTGGATTCCCTCAAAGTCATCCTTGTAAAAAAAGTGAATTACACAAGAAAGTGTCAGGCTAAATATTTCATTTCAGGATATTAACTTGCTGTTCCATGATTTTCTGACTACAAAACGAAACAAAAACTGAAAGTTTTGCTCGTGCCATTTTTTCATCATATGAAACATTATAAATCAAGTTTTATCACATTTTTCATATAGTTACATCCGATAAACATCCAAATGACGAATCAGTAGTAATTGCCTTTGTCGGTGTGCATCAAGTATATAGACAAAGATCTTAAAACATCAACCGGTTTCACAGTTTTATTTCAAAGGAGACGGTTTAGAAAAAAATAAAATAACAAAAATACCGAACTCCAAGGAAAATTCAAAACAGAAGGTCCCTTATCAAATGGCAAAATGAAAATCTCAAACACATCAAACGAATGGAAAACAACTGTCATATTCCTGACTTGGTATTTTCTTATGTAGAAAATGGTGAATTCAACCTGGTTTTATAGCTAGCTAAACCCCTCACTTGTATGACAGTCGCATACAATTCCATTATATTGACAACAATGTCAGTTGTATTATTCAATCCAATAACTTCAGATGTTCACAAGACATTATTCCGTCACTGTCAAGTGTTAGTATTTATATTTTGAAGTAAGTCTAACATATTAATAGATAAATAGAAAGAGATGTGGTTCATCTGCTGATGAGGAAGTAACCAAGAAATATGTACATATGAATAACGGAAAGAAAATTAAATATTAACATGCAGACTTCACCAATAGATAGGTCTCTGATTGCTTGATTTTAATATATACCTAGAAAAATAAAGGCAACAGTAGTATACCGCTGTTCAAAAGTCATAAATCTATTAAGAGTAAACAAAGCCGGGTTACAAACTATAACCGAGGGAAACACATTAACTACAAGAGGAAAATAACGGAACAACAGAAACACTGAACTGCAACAAAAACAAACGCCATCATACATAGAAACAGACTATTTGATAACAACTGCCATATTCCTGACTTGCTACAGGACATTTCAAGAAAAAATGGTGGGTTGAACCTGGTTTTATGGCTAGCCAAACCTCACGCTTATATTGCAATGTTAAAAAATACCGCTAAAATGACAACACTACGTGACAGGAATACAGTTCAAACCAGACGCAAGAACACTCAGCACAGAGAAATACATAAAAAAAATATAATAGTACATTACAACATGTAAACCGAAGAATAACAAGGACATCTCCCATTAACGACAGCACATGACACCACAAACTGCGCGTCACATGAATGGATTAACGCCACAAAAATTGCCGAAGACGGCCGACGGTCATGCCACCCGATATGAATATGAATAGATAACGACCACGTGCAATTGGATTTTTCTATTTCTGTTTGATTTCATACTATAGGTTAAAAGAGTATGTCTATCATCGTTTTCACCTGTATAAGAATGGTTCATCTTGTTTCACTTTCAATGGTGACAATTTTTTTTCTTTTAATAACTGAACACAATCGAAACTTATCTCCAGGTATGGGGTTAAATTGTAGGTCACATGAATTCATATTCAATGAGGTTAAATTATTGACTTGCAAGTCTATAATACATCAGCGATGTTTTGGGGTTTATGTTTGATAATGTAGGCCAAACTGACTGCTTATAACGAAATATCATTTCCAAATTCCACTTTTATTGTCCCCGTACAATTATTGCAAGATTTTTATAATACTGATATCATAGGTTTATATCAGCAATGTCTCGGACAAGTTCGAAAAGCAGTGCCGATCAACTATTTTTAAAAGAGTTATGGCCCTTGGAAACATTAATTATATGGAAAATTGCATTGTTAGTGCTCTCATGTGTACAATTCTTGCCAGATTTTTATGAAACTTATATTGTAGGTTTATATCAGCAATGTCTCGGACGAGTTTGAAAATCAATGCCGATCAACTATTTCTAAAAGAATTATGCCCCTATGAAAATTAATTATATAGAAAATTGCATCGTTAGCGCTTCCATGTGTACAATTCTTGCCAGATTTTTTATGAAATTTGTATTGTAGGTTTATGTCAGCAATGTCTCGGATGAGTTTGAAAATCAGTGCCGATCAAATATTTTGAAATGATTGATGCCGCTTAGAAATATAATTTTGTTTGTTGTTTCGCAAATTATTTCTTATATATTTGGTATATGTTATAGAACTGGCACCAACTTGTTTTTATAAGAGTTATCTCCCAAAACACTGTTTTCTTGTGATTACTTTTCTTCTACAGCCGTTAAAGATTTAAAAAAAAATTGTTTTTCAGTATTGCTGGCTAATCCTACGAATAATGTGTTAATTTTTTTAGCTGAAAAAGTACCTAATGTATGTATTTTTGGAATCGGTGTAGGAATCTGAACAATTGGTTTGTATTTCTTTCTTCTTCCACTGTTTTTTTTCGAACACTTTTTTCCTTGTGAGCCCAATTCCTCCATAACAATAAAAGATATCTCTAAATTATTGATTGTTTTAACCTCAGTAAGCTACGGCCAAATTGGACCTGGTGGTATCTTATATCATTTATCTTCCCTTCACTAGTGTACTAGGCAGGATGTTGGTGTATCTCATAAACAGTAAGCCTTATAATCTAGTCTTTAGAATGAGATATTTAGGGTGCTATAAACAGTTTCGTATAAAAAAAACTAGGGGTTATTCCCTGACTAAAAATAACCATGGAGGGAAATCCCTTTTTATTTACATAGTTGGTCAAAAAGTATCATCTTTTTTGTATTTGATGGTAAAGAATGTTAGATAGCTTTCAATTAAAACAGGTTGAATGATCAAATTATATTTTTGAAATTAGATTAAATATACATGTTTTAATGCGAGACAATACTGTAAACTTCCTGTGTTATGGTAGTGAAAATTGAAAACTTATTTGTAGCTACTGTAGCTCTTTCCGAAGCTTGCGAACGTACCCTGAAGTGAGAATTTTTTAAAAGACCAGGTAAAAATCTATGAAATTCATACAGTTTTGTTTATCTGAAATGTGCCTGCATTATTCCTACATGGTAGTGCACATGACCTGATTTCAGGTTGTTCATGTTGAAATTGGGCATTTTTTGTTTCATTTTCTCTTCTTCTCTGGATAGAACTTTTTTATAATGTTAAAATTACACTTCATTTTTACTTCATTTTAAACTAGAAATTCTGATTCCAGTGATATCTAGTTTTATACAAGTATTTTTATTAACAATACACCCACTAAGGGTCACTTGTGCACGGTCCCTCAAAATATGATGTCATAGAAAAAACTGTTTATTGCACTCTTAGACCCTAAAAACCTTCCAACTTAAAAACTGAGGTCAATGTCATGTCCTCAATTCTAACCTTTGCCTGTGAGTGCATCTTCATGTGTTTGAGCTTTTGTTTTTGCCGTTTGTTAAGGAACATTCCTTTTTTGAATTTTCCTTGGAGTTCAGTATTTTTGTTATTTTATTTCACTGAAACTATAAAAGACGAATAAAACAGAAATAGTTAAAAATATTTCGGTTATTTGGAAGTAGATAACCTTGGGACAGGCCAACCTGAAGAGACTTTATGTAAACTGTTAACATCCATTTTTTGTACATATTTCAAGGAATTAGAAAGTGCATAGAACCATATATATATATTTTTAAATTGGCATACATTAACCTACCATATGACCACAAATTACCTTCTATAAACTGGAAGTTACAAATTATTCCCCTAATTAAAGAAATTGATATTTCACTAGAGTTTGATATATTTTAATGTTATACTGGAGTGAAATATCTCAGTATATCAAATAATTGTTATTCGGGCTTCACGGGTTATATGGGCTCATATTGCCTGCCAGTGCCCTGTTAGATCACAAATAACATAGAATGTTCTCTATAAGTACTTGCTTCCTTTTTTACTTACAAAATCTATGTTTTAAACATCCCTTTCATCCTTGGCAAAAAATGTAATTTGAAAAACACTATTCAACTTTAAATAATTTAATGATTCTTTCTTCTCTCTGTTTGGTTAATTGTATGAAAATTGTCTATACATGTACACATGTAGTATAAGTGCTGTATATACGCTGGTTAGCAGAAATTCGTTACGGGAATTTTATTTGCATTAGGGGAAGATAAAATTTTAAAACATCAAATTAACTGGATAAAACGAACCAAGTACAATATTTGTTTATAATTAACGAATAAAAAGGCTCTAAAACTTCGGAAAGTATACGACGAAATTCAAATTGAGAGAAATGCTACATGTGTATAATATATTGTTAGGGCAGATAGCCATGTAGCTTGATTTGATCATGAAGACGATGAAGCGACACATAAAGACAAGTCTTCTCATTTAGTATTAAAGAAATGAGACATAGCTATACACTACAAACCAGTAAAAGTCTGAAATGGCCTATATCTGTACTCGACTGTACTGATTTTTACTCGACCAGTCTGAATTGGTCTGAATTTTACTTAATATTACTCGACCCAGTCTTAACCATACTCGACTGTACTGATTAGTACTTGACCCTTATCTTTGCTATTGAAAATAGTCTAAACTATTACTCGACCAGTCTGAAACAGTCTTAACCCAGTCTGGACCAGTACTCGACCAGCTCTCGACCTATTTTTTCAGTCTGAACCATACTCGACCAAAGGTCTGAACATTACTCGACCAGTCTGAACCATACTTGACCAAATAACCTCTTCTTTATAATTTTGATTGTTTAAATAACTTTCTCTTTAACTTATATGACAACAGCCACAATTAAATAAAGATATATATAAAAACATTTTTTACATTCTTTAATAATACATGATTCTCTTAGATTTGGCAAATCAAGATAGTTAAATTATCTTATTTTAAAGTCTGAGTCTTGTTAAATAAAAGACTTTTTTTACCTGAAAACCACACCTATACTGAGGGTAATGAAACCTTATTAAAAATAAGGTGCTTTTTGTTTGGCATGTGTTTTTTTTTTAAACAAAACTTGATTTTCCTAAATTCCTAAATAAAAACGAATGTAGGACAGAAAGTCACAGGACAAAAAGTCACAATTCAGTTTTGAGGTTATTTTTCTTTGAACAATAGAACACTTATTTTTAAAAAAACATTTTTGTATTTTTCTTGAAACAATATCAATAATGATCAAATAATTGTTAAGAAAACAAAATGTTACAATGTCTTGGTACTTAAATGGCTTCATGGTGCCAAGAAATATATCCTTTGCATGATTAATATTTTATAAATCTTTATTTATCAAATTAAGTCTTATGAACAATTTCCTAAACTGTAAAATGAATATGTGTCATAAAAAGTAAACATTTCAAGATCTTTCTCATAAATATTCAATCAATTGTATACAAATTATTTGTGACTTTTTGTCCTATCAAATTTGTGACTTTCTGTCCTGTGACTTTTTGTCCTGTGACTTTCTGTACTTAGGTTTCATGGTTATATACAATAGTTATATAACTATCTTTTTCATGAGGTAACAACAGCCAACAAAATCACTGACATTGTTTAACCTTATATCAGAAATATATCTATTCCTATTCATAATTTGGGATATATATATATTTTAAAAGGGATAAAAAATTCAAGAAATGAATAAAATTTTTCTTCTGATTAGGGGTAAACTATAAAGTAATATATCCTGCTTGACACACACTGATTAAAAAGATCACACCTGGTCAGAGAGTAATAAATTTTAAATAACATCCATTGAAAATTACAACATCCTGTAAAACTTAAATAACAAGGCCTTTGAATTCACTAGATAAGTAATACACGAGTTTAAGAAAAATATGGTTTTCTTTTTACCTGTAAAACACCTGTACTGAGGTAATTAAACCATTAAACCTTATTAAACTGCTTCTTGTATGCCATGTCTTTAATTTTGACAAAACGTATTTAAATTTAATTAAAATAAATTTCTACTGCAACTTTGGAATACATTTCCTTTTTTAAAAGGTTATCAAGGATAAAAAGATGAAAGTTTTATTATTATTATTATATTAAATTTTTGATTTTACAAAACAAAGGTGTCAATTCTAACATTTATTAAGTTGCTTTATATACTATTTTATATATATTTTGATAAAAAAAAAATTGAATAACATTTAAGATATTTGAATAATGGTTGAAAGTTATAGTATTTTTGATGCATAAATCAATGTGAACATGATATCATGTATATGAAAATTCATTTAACGAACTTAATTTATTACATGATATTTTTTTAATCCAACCAGAAATTTGATCACCTTGTTTTATTTTAATTTTAAATGTGATATACATTTTATATATATATATATATATGAATAACAGTTCCTAAATTAATGAAAAAATAATATAGATAGATACAAAAAATAGGTCTAGGTTGGTTAAGACTTGGTCGAGTATGGTTCAGACTAGGTCGAGTATGGTTCAGACTAGGTCGAGCATGGTTCAGACTTGGTCGAGAATGGTTAAGACTATGTCGAGTATGGTTCAGACTCGTATAAAATGGTTAAGTACTGGTCAAGTACAAGTTCAGACTGTTTAGTATGGTTCAGACTACAGTCGAGTAATATCAAGTAAATTTCAGACCAATTCAGACTGGTCGAGTAAAAATCAGTTCAGTCGAGTACAAATATAGGCCATTTCAGACTTTTACTGGTTTGTAGTGATAGCTTACATTGATGTTCTTTTCTACTGTATTTGCAAAAAATGTTTTATGTGTCTCGTCATCAAACATATTTTTTGGCATACGCACTATATCGCCGGGAATCACAAAACAGATCACATATAGACAGAATATGTACAACTGCTTATGTATCATTTGATAAACCTTTTAGTAAAACAATAACTGTGGAAGCGGTATAAAAATAATATCGTATGTTCTCATATATTATAGACTTTTTTAAGAAAGCAACCTGTTTTTAAATTATAATTCAGCTCTTATTGAGCATTTGTATTTTTGGAAATTATCAATCCTTATGACAAAGACTATTGTTGTGAAGATCTAAAAACATGATTGAAAATTATGACACAAAATTGATAATGGCAACATTCGATTTAAACAAGTTCCACCAGGACGATGAGGATTATTTGGGAAAGTTCAAGCAAGCGGCAGGAAAAACATGAAAATAATAAATAAGACCAAACATATAAAATAGAGCAAATAGAACAAAAATTAACAGTCAAACTCAATTTTGATTATAAAATATTTAACTATAAAATTTCAGCATGAAAAAATGTATAGTATGTAAATGAGACAGAAACATCACTTACCAATTAAATTTCTCAGACAATGTTATAATTATCTAAGGAATAATTTGTCAAATCAATTGCAAACATAACAGTAATATATAGATGACTAAAATAGTGCTTGGTAACTTATAAACATACATGCTTATGTCAACTTTGTTTCGTCTATCGGATATTCCCTTATTATTTCATATAAAAACATATTTTTAATAAAAATCATATGGCTATATAGGAAAAAATTGACACTTAATTTCAATTAATAATTGTTTCTCTGTAATGACATGTCATAAAAATATTGATTAATAACAATATAAAAATTTGGGAATTTGGGATAGGTGGAACGCTTTTGACGTTACACTGTAGAAACTGTCGATTATTAGTCATAGCATAGGTAGATGCATACATCATTAATGAAAAATATTCCCTTCCCTTTCATTCCTCCCTTGGCAGCAATGCTTTGTAACGTGCTTAACAACCTTCCTTTCGCAACCTTTCCTCCATATAAGGACATCCACCAAGCCGCCCATGATCCAGGTGCTATACCAGTGGTGGTAAATCCGAGCACAGCAAGTCCCACTGGTCCACCATAATGACCTGCCGTAGCAAATGCAGCAAAACATGATGCGTAACACACGATGCTACCTAAAACGTACATTGAGTATATAAACCTTTATCAAACACTTGAACAGTTTTAATGAATAACATAAAATAAGGGAAAAAATCCAGGCAACATTAGTATGGCGTGATCAACAAAAGGATTAATCATCGGTGGGGGGCACTTCTACCTTTTTGTGGTAGTGATGAACAGCCGAGACATTGAGTACTCCACCCTTTTCATATATTTGAATAACAAGAATACATATTCTATCATATATTTGTGGACAAAAATATATCTATAGCTATCATGCTTACGTTGTTTCATGTTTTAATCGCATCTGTCAAAAAAAAAACATCTGATTAGTTTCAGATACTTATGACTCAGTCAGCAACCTTGTCATATATTTCATCCCAATTTCTCTACCGTATATATCATGAGGCTCGAAAAGGTGACCTTTTGCAGCGGCTCATTCCTATCACACATCACATAGCAAGTGCCCCCTCCCAAAGGATTAGCCACAACCATGTCTTAAAAATCAGTGAAACATACAGCACATTTGTTTACCACTGCACGTAAGTCAGTTTTCACACTGTTGTCTGAGTCTGTCGTCTGCGTCATCGTCTGACGTTGCAAGTTTGCCTGTTAACTTTTAAGTTTCTCATTGTCGATCCTTTTCATAATTCGAAACAAAGTTCGTATGGATAAATTGAAATAAAGTCGGTTTTGGTTGATGCTTGCAACACTAATTTTTGCAAAACGGACCAAAAAGGGAACAACATGATAGTTGCAGTATAATTGACTAATTTCAATTTCACCTGAACAATCATTTTCATACTAATATAATATGCGGATAAAATTAGGTTGTTTTAGTCTTGCCCGATTTTATTTTGAAAAGAGAATCCAAAATTGGCTAAAATATAAACTTATAAAATATGAAAATTATCATGTTGTCATCTGAAAGGTAACTGACATTAGAAATCACATAATGTTCATTAAAATGAAATGGGTCCAGCTACGAAATGGAATTAGGCTTAAGAAAGAAAAAAGCTAAGATAAATCTGCACAATACTGGTTTTGTAATAAAAAATGTATGTATCAATGATAGTAGATTGTTTTGAATAAACGAAGAAGAAAAAATAATTAGGGTTATGTGTAAAGAACGAGTTAGAGAAAACTTCAGTATTACATTTATTATCAAATTTTGAGTGTGACCTGGTGCGCGAGTGTATAACGATGTCGTTATGATAATTATAATTTCGTTTAGTATTTTACTTATTTACAACTTGTACTAAATAAGCAACTGATATCTCATTACTGCAATAAATTTAACATGATATTCGCTGATAATAATAAAGCCAGTTGTAACAAGTATACCTGAAATTGTGTTATCGTCCGATACTAGAAAATGCATTAGTCATTCGTAATAATTTGTTAACAACTCTATATTCCGATATATAATAATCTACAATTTAAATTTTGTAACACCACACCTACTATGTTGAATAATTAAAGAAGTATACCTGATTTTCACCCATATGTGAAAACGTTTAAAGCTTCAACAGTTCCCCAATGGACTCTACCTTATGATAAAGCTGAAAGTTGCCGAAATCTAAGTGAATCGACATTCAAACAAATAATAAGGAACTACATACATCCAGATTTTCAATAACATCAAACGAAAATACTCTTCTGTACAATTTATATAATAAAATGTTATACTTTCATTTTTTACTGCCATGAGACCAATGTAATAAAATGTTATACCTTCAGTTTTTACTACCATGAGACCAATGTAATAAAATGTTATACTTTCAGTTTTTATTACCATGAGACCATTGTAATAAAACGTTATACTTTCAGTTTTTATTACCATGAGACCAATGTAATAAAATGTTATACTTTCAGTTTTTATTACCATGAGACCAATGTAATAAAATTTTATACTTTCAGTTTTTACTACCATGAGACCAATGTAATAAAATGTTATACCTTCAGTTTTTACTACCATGAGACCAATGTAATAAAATGTTATACCTTCAGTTTTTACTACCATGAGACCAATGTAATAAAATGTTATACTTTCAGTTTTTATTACCATGAGACCAATGTAATAAAATGTTATACCTTCAGTTTTACTACCATGAGACCAATGTAATAAAATGTTATACTTTCAGTTTTTATTACCATGAGACCAATGTAATAAAATGTTATACTTTCAGTTTTTACTACCATGAGACCAATGTAATAAAATGTTATACTTTCAGTTTTTATTACCATGAGACCAATGAAATAAAATGTTATACCTTCAGTTTTTACTACCATGAGACCAATGAGTATCATAGCTATCAGATTGTATTTTCCATGACAGTATACAACTATGTCCGTTAAAACTGAAAATAGAAAAAATTTATGCTTGTAAGCTGGAATTTCTAATCTTAAGCAGCAAAATGTTAGAGATGATGCATAAAAGGAATGTTGCGCCACATATCAAATCACACCGTTCGTTAAACCTACTTGTGCGATTTTATATTGATCATTTAAATCATAAAAGATAAACTTCTCAATTATTTTTGGCTTCATTCTATCAGCACTTACATATAGCGCATTACATGTATGTGTTCATGAACTTCCTGTATTGAGTCACAAACGTCGGCATTACACATCTGTAAAGACCCATTGAACGGGAATCTAGAGGCGTTGCATTCATTATAAACATCGTTTCAAACAGTTTCTAAAATTAATTTAAACTCTTTTGAGTTTGTTCTTAGGGAAATAAAAATCAAAAAGGGGGATCCTCTAAATTCTGACTCATATAGAGCAATTACATTTGTGTCTTCCATAGGGAAATTAATCACTGCCGTTTTGAATGGTAGTCTTCAAAAATATGCCGAATTATTGGAGTGGTTACTAAAGTTAAAGTATTGTACGTTTGTCAATACCGTTTGAAGGTATAGCAAGAATTGGTTAATAATTCAAATTACTGGAAAGATTTTGAGAGAGATATTTGACATGTTTACTAATATCAAATCTTGTGTCTAAAAGGAAAATGATAATTCTGACTTTTTCTCATGCGAATTCGGGGTAGGTCAAGGAAAAAATTTATGATTTTCATTCTATTTGTCTCTAGGATCTGAAAGAGTTTTTATGTCAAACAACATTAACGGCCATGAACTAGTATCAACGCATTGTCTAGAACATAATGGAATTTATTTACAAATTTTCGTTCTGTTTTATGCCGATGATATGCAGAATACATTAGATATGTTTCATTGGTATTGTACACAATGGTACTAACTGTGAACACCTAGGTTATGATTTTCTCAAAATGAAAAAGCAGAAGAAACCATTTACATGATATCAAATTATATGGTCCAGATTAAGAAATTGTAGATTCTTATTTTCATCTGTGGTAACTGTTTTATTGTAACGGTAAATTTACAGATACCAAGACAAAAAAGGCAGTGTGTGCTCTCTTGTGGGACAACCATTTGATTTTCGGGGGGATGGGGGGGCGTCAGAAGGATTTAGAAAATTTGGAGATACAAATGTGTTCAAAAGTTAAAAAAAGTTTTCGCGCTGGAAGAAAATAAGCTTGCGCAGCAAACAGATGAAAATAAATAATCAATTCGTACCCCGCCGCCCGAATATCAAATGGTCGTCCCCTTACAGAAAATTTTGAAATTTAAGTATCCATTTTGCATTTTACTACTTAAGTCCGTTTACAAATTGTTTGATTCATTGATTGAAACAATACTGTAACAGCCTTGCGAAATATGAAGTTTCGAAAACATAGATGTTGAAGAAAGGATTTATTTGTTATTGTTTTATATAAGAATGATTAACAGCCCTTAAAATCCGTAATATTTTGAAGAAAACTACTGAAATATGTTTTACGCACCTTCGCACAAAATAAAACGTTCACTAAGATAACCGACTTAGAATGTGTTCCAGTTGAATGGCACAAAGGTATAATATAGTTAATTCATAAAGGAGGCTCGGTTCACGATTTGGCTAATTACATGGGCATAACTTTGAATTCCAATGTATATAAGGTTTATATATATTGAAGATAAGAACTTATAAGGTGAAACGCAAGGCGCCTCGAGAAAAGACAGAAGAGTTGAAGATCATGTTTTGACCCTTCATGGACTCGTTAAGAAAAACATAAAAGGAAAAAACTTTTCTAGCTTTCTTAGATCTATCCTCTGCTTTTGATAAAGTCTGGAGATATGGTCTTTTTTATCTTCTTTGGCAAAATGGTATTTAAGGAAAATGCCATAAACTACTACGTTCTCTTTATAAAAACGTAAGTAACAAGGTCAATTTTGGATATTACGAATCAGACTGGTTTGATCAATGATTTGGTCTAAAACAATGATGTATTTTATCTCTAATTTTCTATTTTCTATTCTAATGTCTGATCTGGTCTCAGTGATAAAAGAAAAGAATCTCGGTATTAATGTAGCGACATATGTTATAAGTAGTCTACTCTTCGCAAACGATATCGTTTTACTAGGGAAAACCAAAGAAGAGTTACGAACCCTGTTGATTGTTGCCAGTGAATTTGTTTCAAAATGGAACCTAAAGTTTAATGACAAAAAATCAAAAGTTCTAGTGGTAGGAAAAAGACTTAACGCAAATAATAACTGGTTTCTAGGTGATATTTTAAATGATGAAGTAAACGAATATAAAAATGAATGAAATAATGTAACCAATTAATCATTAAAAATTAGACATTGTGATCAAATAATTAGCCTCAAACTTCCCTGGTAATCATGTAATCAAAAACCCATAACAGAGTCTCGTTATCGACATCCAGGAAAAATTCCGTCTTAAACTTGCATTGCAGTGAGAGTATTAAAGGCCTCACTGTGACTTTGAGATGAAGAACAGCAGTTTTCTGTTCCTTTTCTTTGGGTTTTGTCAACCAGAGTTTTTTTTAATAATGATCTGCACATGTAAAGAATAAAATGGTTCTACATGTTTCTGGGAGTTTATTTCTCAAGAACGTTAAAATTTAATCATATCGAGAAATACATAAGGGAAAACTTTACTATATTATTAGAATACGGTGATTCTAATCGGTTTAAATTTGGCTGTGCTTTGTGGATTTTGGTTATACGTCCATCCATTGCTCATGCTTGTGGCGTATGGTACCCCACGTCAAAATCCGGAAACGAAATGCTAGATAGCTGGTAGTGCAAAGTCGCAAAAGTTATAATTAACTCTAAAATGAACTGTCCAAAATGCTCTGTTTTATCGAAGTTAGGATGGGAATCTTTAACAAATTATATGGACCGTCAAAGGATAACATATTTTGCTAGGTTAGATTCTTTACCTGGTACAAGATATTGCAAAATGATTTTTAACGAATTTAAATTATCAAAAAAAAAATATTTTAATCATATTAACGGCATTCTCCAGTCCACTGGACTAGACCATTATATACATGGAAACATTAATATAAAGACGTTTAATACGTTTTTTGGTATAGAAGCTTGTAATAAGCTTAAATCCGAAATCCTTGAAAAGAGAAGCCTCGATGATTACCGTTCATTTTTTGTTACATAAGCACGATCCTGCTTAACAAAAGTAGATGATTTTTGGGTCCCTCGTCTTAAGTTTCTGGCTAGAACAAACTGTCTTCCATTGAATGCTGTGTTATTACACCACTGGGTCGATGCCACTGCTGGTGGACGTTTCGTCCCCGAGGGTATCACCAGCCCAGTAGTCAGCACTTCGGTGTTGACATGAATATCAATTTTTTGGTCATTTTTATAAATTTCCTGTTACAAAACTTTGAATTTTTCGAAAAACTAAGGATTTTCTTATCCCAGAAATAGATTACCTTGGCCGTATTTGGCACAACCTTTTGGAATTTTGGGTACTCAATGCACTTCAACTTTGTACTTGTTTGATCTGAGCGTCACTGATGAGTCTTATGTAGACGAAACGCGCGTCTGACGTATTAAATTATAATCCTGGTACCTTTGATAACTAATTATTCCGTATGAAATTGAAAGATAGTGATACATGTCAAACATATTGTATTAAAGAATCTGTTTTGCATGTATTGTTGGAATGCCAGACGTATAATGATATTCGAGAACGTTTCTTTTCTGATTTGCACGATTTTCTTCTCAATGCAGGAACCGGCGTGTTTCTCTCAGAGTTGCCTCACTTTAATAAACTTCAATTAATCATCGGCGACATAGCCTTTTTGTTCGGTGATGATATCGAAAAAAAAGTTGATGAAATGGACAAAAAATATCTGACCTCAGTCATTAAAGCTCGCAATGACTTGCATGTTAATGTCTAAATTAATTTATATGTATGAAAGTTTGAAAATGTGCCAAAAGTATGTGAATGTGTTTTTTTATCAACACCTTTCCCCTTAACTAATACACATTAAAAGATTTTTACTGAAAAAAAAATAATTAAATAATCCTTTGACTCCGTTTTAACTTTATATATCTTATATAATTAAAACGGAAATTCACCAAAAGTCCTTTCCAAGGCGCTAAAACGTGCATGAATTCTTAAAGTTATAAATCCAATTTGCCAAATTAAAAACAAGCCAACAAAAAAAATAATAAACTGTTAAAACAGAGATATGTCTCGCCTTTTTCCTATTTGATAGTAAAATGCAAATGTTGAAATTTTAATAGCAATACTTTAACATGTAAGTTAGTCAAAATATTCAAAGTCAATGAACCATAACAAAAGGTTAAAGGCCAAATAATCTCCATGGAAATGAAATGTGCCAATGCTAATGCAACTACATGCCTAATATCATTAACCTTCCACAAGTGGTTCCCCTTAAACTGACCTAATGACAAACAATTACACTGTTGACGCCGCCGCCGCCAGAAACAGCATACCTATGTCTCGCTTTTTGACTCCGTCATGGCGAGACAAAAACGAAGAAAAAGATAAAGAAGAGTCCACAAAATACTACAAGGAAAATTCAAGACTGCGCAACACGAACCGCAAGAAATACCGGGAGTGATCTCAATTTCTCCTGAAGGGTATGCAGAGACTGCTCCACATGCGGCATAAGTCGTGTTGCTCATGTAAAATAAATACACATTCGGTGATAAGTCTCATTTAATGATATCATATTTGAGAAAAGAGGATGTTATTGTGGTTACGTCAAAAACTTATTGATGTTTCATATTTAGGATAAATTTCTGTTACACAGGTGACCTTTGAATATGATAAATCAATGATACAGGAAATAAAAAATACTTTTTTGAAAATAATATTAATGTACACTTTATAAATCTCATAACTGTTTTTAGTATCAACATTATTAAATGATATCTATATATTATTTAGTTGGAATGGATGTATCAAAAAGATATAAAGATAAAACTGAAAGTCTTTCCACCCGAAATACACATGTTTTGATATGAAAATATTCACTTCAGGTTTAGAATGTCAGTTCTTGATTCAGATAATAGAATTATTTACGCTGAATCCAAAAAAAAAAACGATTTCTATTTACTTTTGGTAAAAATAAGGTAGATAATTAGGTACTTCCGGTTTATAAAATTTCACTTCGGGTTTCATTTGAACCTGACTTAACACTGATTAAAAAAAAATCAAGTTCTAGTACTTTTTAAATGAATATAATGCAAACATGGCTTCTTCCGATTGACAAAAGGTCACTTCCGGTTTACCTTCTTCAAGGTCATATGTCTGCAACCCAATGTAAAAGACCCATTGACTTTATCATGTACCAACAAGTAATATCTTTTCTAAAAAGCTAGCCGTCTTTAGCTGATGAAAGTGGAAAATGTTTTCGCTTTGTAGTTTAATTCATTCAGAATAGCCTTGTATATATAAATTGTAGTGGATTCCACAACTTATAAAAGGCTTATACAATTTTTTAGATCTACCAATATCTTTTTGGGGGGTAAGAAATAACACTATAAACGGAGGGATAATGTCTTAATCATCTGCGTTTGTAGTAAACTTTTGAAAAAAAATTATTTTTTCATTTTCATTTTTTTTTCTGATAGATAGACTTAGTTTTTTACAGTTAACATTTACAGACAGTCTGGTATTAAACTTTTTTTGACATTTTTAAACCTTCATGGATTGTTATGAAACTTGGACAAGCTAATTTTCAAGACCAGGAAAAAGCATCTAAAGAAAAAGTTTGAATTTTTTTTTTAAATCTTTATACTGATAAATGGACTTACTTTTTAAGTCAACATTACACTTTACACTGATAGCAGCAATCGCAGACGAGACACAGGGTTTCGTGGAACCCTTACGAATTTTTTTTCTATTAAGATATTGTTTTGCATGTATTCACAACTATGCTACATATTATAGCTAGACTTGGAAGGATAAAGATCTTAAAATATTGCAATGACATGTCCATTGTAAAAGACCGTATGTTGAACTTTAGACGTAAATTGTTGTGTTTGTTGTTTAATTGGGATGCTTTCGAAATACATTATGTATACTTCATATGTCCTTTTTAAATCATGCATAAATATCAAATATTGCTTAGAATATGCTAGCATACATGTATAATTGCTTTTATTGTCTGAGAGTAGTTTTGTTTTATTCTTCTTATATTCCCCTTTGGACTTTTTGTTTAGTCTTCTGTTCTTCAACGTCTGCTATGTTGATAGGAAGAGCTGGGGAGAGCTAGACAACTTCCAATTAAGCCCACACCCGGATCCCCTAAAGATCTTGGGTGTGTGGAAAGGGGGGGGGGCACTTATTATAATGAGTGGAAGGGATGAGCCACTGGTCGAGAAATTTAGGTGAAATATATTACAAGGTGGATGATTGTGAATCTGAAACCAATCAGATGTCGATATTTTTTTACACATGCAATTAAATGTCGTAAATGCTTAAGACATTTGCCAAAACTATGCATCTCCCGTTGAAATAGCGTAACATAGTCCGAGATTACTCTGACGTCCAACGGCTGTTTTGCCAGACAAGCTGGGGCCGTGGGACGTCAGAGTTCGTCCCATATCAAAAAGTGGATATTTGCCCGTCCAAAATAGATGCGCTGCTTCGTCGCTTCTGGTGCCAACGGACGGCCTTGGAATTATATAAATCGGGTATCAATTTGTTCATTTTTTTTATTTTTCTCTTCATTTATGTAAGTTTCACCTACCTGCCACCCTTTATTTTCTCATATTTAGACAGTTTTCACAGTGACCCATCGATTCAGACATTTTTACTTTTATTTTCAAATAGACGTCAAGTTACGAGAGATTTCGCGACCTCGAGACTCAAATATGCAAATATTTATACTTTTTACACCTCCTTTATAGGAGATCGATATTTAACATATAGTAGCCAACCACGATTTTTCACCTCCTTTACAGGTGATCGGTATTAAGCATTTAGTGCCAACCACGATAACATTCGGAAGCTCTCGGATATTTACATTGCTTGCATCGTGAATGAGCGAGGTGTTAGATTATATATTATATTGACCTAGGGTCATATGCATACATCATTTCCCATAGTCCATTGTGCCTTACTTTTTTCTCGTGATCACATGACAATCTTTCAAAATGAAAGTTAAAATGCCAGAATCGGTGGGTCACTGTGAAAACTGTCAAAATATGAGAAAATAAAAGGTGGCATGTAGGTGAAACTTACATAAATGAAGAGAAAAATGAAAAATGAACAAATTGATACCCGATTTATATAATTCCAAGGCCGTCCGTTGGCACCAGAAGCGACGAAGCAGCGCATCTATTTTGGACGGGCAAATATCCACTTTTTGATATGGGATGAGCTCTGACGTCCTACGGCCCCAGCTTGTCTGGCAAAACAGCCGTTGGACGTCAGAGTAATCTCGGACTAAGCGTAACAATGATAGCTATATGTAGATATAATTATTGTAAAAAATTATGATAGCTAGGGTATATTCTTTTGTTATTCAAGATATATGAAAAGGGTAGGATATTGGGTGTCTCAGCTAGTCACCCCTACCCGCATAAAAAGGTCGAAGTGCCGCCGCCCCCTGATATGAGATAAAGATTCTATTGTAAATTAATATTAATTGAAAATAAATGATTTGGATATCTCCGTTTTCAATGTTTTTTTTTTGCCTTTTGATTACCTTACTAAGAATTAATATCTATAACTTAAGAAAAAAGCATCCGCGGTGTTTTCCTATGTTTTCATGTATAAAATGTACGTAACTTGGCAGTGAGCGACTGGATTGAATGTGAAATAATCACGCGTGTGTTAACAAAATTTTTAGGAGTCTCCGCTATTTATAGATAAGTGTTACCTGTGTACCTATATGCATGATTTGTAACCAGGCAAAATCTAATTGCTAAAATAAAGAGTTCAAATCCGACACTCTACGGGATTAAATTTACTAGGTTATGATTGTCCCAACCAATCAACGAACTTCATTATTATAGAGTCATTAATTATCTTCCAATCAGATAGTAAGAAGCTTTCATCCCGCAGACTGTGCATCATTCAACTCTTAAGACCGTCTCCGAGGAGACGGTAATAAGAAGTAACAGCAAAGGTCAAAATCCAGAACATTAAATTTAACTTTGACCTTGACCTCAATTTCAAGGTAATACAGCAAGGATCTCAAATCAAAAGACCCTAGGTCTCTACAACATAAGGTTAATGCGTTATATCACCATACAGCTAATTTAAAATGTAAGAAGGGAGAAAACTATTACATGTCAAAGTACCCTTTTAAAAAAATATATGTGTTACAACATGTCGCAACTAACAATTTAGTAAAAATATTGTGTCGGTATCTTATACAGTTTCTGAGGAGAATCAATAGTAAGCCAAAATCAAAATTAAGAAAATGACATTGACCTTTGACCTTGACCTTATTTTCTTTTTGGTTGACCAAGGACCTCAAATCAAAAGATCCTAGGTCTCTATCACTTATGGTTTGCCAGTAACAAATACATTTCACTTATATCAAATACAGAAGGGGAAATGAGTCTCATAAGGAGTCTCCGTATCGCTTGGGACAAATGATAACAGAACATCTTGAGGATATAACGCGCAATTTGGAAAAATAAATTTGTCGGTTTCTTTTACGGTTGCGAAGGGGTAGTAATAACAAGAAAAACAGTGTTCGGGGAGATTTGAAAAGCTCACTATGTAGTTTATTGAATATCGACTGTAAATAAAAATTTGAATTGAATTGAAAAACCCTTATAAAGAAAAGTGTTCCCTCAAACAGTGTGAAAATAAAAAGTGCAATAACTGTTCGATATCATATGCAAAATATCTAATCGACATGTAGCGAAACAAAAAAAAACACTGCAAGAAAATAATGTGGCGGAAGAAGAAAACAAAAAATAATCAGAACAAATCCTAAAGGTCTTTCCACTGATACGTGGAAAAACCAAATAATAATAATAAAAACAAAATTAAAGCAATAAAGTAAACAATAAGTTAGTTTTGTTAAATGAAACGAATCGACATATAACATGTGACTATTAAGCTTGAATATAAAATATAAAAGTTCCGGAGTCCCATATAAAGATGCATGTCAAATAAATTTTAAGATTAATTTTGAGTTATCACAGAAATAGAAAATAGCTTCTTTTTATAGTGATTAAAGGTTAGGAAATTTTATATATAATTACCTGTTTAAAATTCTTTAATTTTATTTCAGTGTCATCGTTTATTACAGTCTGAATGGTTCCTTTTAAACTAGGCGTTATTCAAAATTTGCCTGCTGTATTCTTATCAAATCTTATGTTAACTTAATAGTAAGACGTGCACACTCAAGATTGATCAAATAGAAATGACCTGGTCGAGTATGGTTCAGACCTTTTATCGGGTTGTTTCTGGCGAAAATTCAGACTTGTTTAGAATAGTCGAGCAAGAATCAATACAGTCGAGTACAAATACTGCTCATTTCATACTTTTCCTGGTTTTTAGTGTAGTGGGGGCAGTGCGATCATATACACTTAAGCTTCATGTCAGGGTTTTACTTCTTTGTTTGTATATATAAAAAAATCTTTATTAATTGTATGTAAAAAGTAATTAGATTTGTGTATAATTGTAGACTTCAATTGGTTGGCGTGTGCAATCCTTTTTTATTGTATTATTTCGACAATAAAATATGTTTAAACTACTCATATTACAAAGGAACTTTAATTCAATGCCACGTAAGCATTTAGAAACACTATTTTATGTCCTAATATTCGTGAGTCATGCAGATAGCCCTATAAAATTCCTAGGTGAGTCCCAACGTAATGTTTCCCATGTGAATACTTTTAATATAACAAATCAAACTTACGTAATATTAAGACGAAATAAGCCAAAATATATTATAAACCGACTTTACTTTGGAAAGGCGCTGTACGCATGCTCGATTTAATATTACTTTGTCATAATATCTTTTATATTGTATTTTTTCAATTATCTCCCTTGGTGTGTATCTGGACCAAGCATTTTCTGAAAATGCCTTAAATATTTATGTCAACATTATTGATGTCGTTTTATAGGAGTATTACTGATAATAAATAGCATAGTTGAAAAATACCTTGTTTGAAGACGTTATCTATCGTTGATATCATATAAGTAAATCATTCTTAATGTGATTTTAAAATTGTCTTTTTTAGTTGGTTTTTTTTTCATTCAGTCACACTGAATAAATCTTTAAAATTGAAAAGTTTGTGAACCCATGGTTATTATTCAATAAAATTTTGTTACAACTCCTATATATGACATTCAACTAAGCATGCTTTGCATGGGCAGTAGCCCATAATGTCCGGTTAAGATGGTTGAAATCACAAAGCATCATAAAAGAGAGGCGAAAGATACCTTAGGGACATTCAGACTCATAAGTCGAAAATAAACTGACAACCCTATGACCAAAAAAGAAAAAAATACCAACAAATAACAGTACTAGTACAGAAAACTAAACACTGAGCAACACGAACCCAACCAAAAACTGGGGGTGATCTCAGGTGCTCCGAAAGGGTAGGCAGATCCTGCTCCACATGTGGCATCCGTCGTGTTGCTCATGTTATTACAAACCCGGTAATAAGTCTAAATCGGTAGGTCACATTCGGGGAAAAGGGGACGGGATTGTAATTACGGCATTTGGAAGATATCCGCTATCATTTGTGAAACGGATATTCCATAACGGTCAACCAACTCGTGATGGCGTCCGTAAAATTTACGGAAGGTGATTTGGTTTAATAGCTTCCTTGTGAGCAGCAACCCTCTATCAAGGAAATACAAGCCCTGGAATATCGTATCAACTGGGAGATATATATATACTCCGTATGAAGGCGCTGCTGGAATGTTGCTACATAGAAATGGAAAGTTCACAATTGGGAAGTTGAAATTATCTCTTTTGTTGTAAAGTTTTGTTTTCAACCGACCCTCATTGTCATTTGTTACAAAGAAGTAACGAGTATCTCCGTCAAAATTTTCTTATAAAACATTGTCTATATACTAATATTCCATAACTGATCCTATAATTAGAGATACATTTGCATAAGTTGTTTCCCTTAGGACGGACATACATTTTCATTGATATGAAGAGCAAGAGGAAAGAGTAAATTTACCTGTTTAAAATGTGTGTAATCTGTACGTTTTTCAAATTTTAAGCTGAAAACTTTGTAAACCATTGGTTATTCTATAACAGTTGTTTAAAGGGTCATTAGCTACGATTTAGACCAAAAAATAAAATTCGATTCTTTTTGCTTCAAGTATTAATAAAGCGACATTTTGAAATAGTATTCGTTATAAGCTGTCTTTTTCTTTCAAAAATGTCTACATAAGCTCAAAAACGTTCCTGATGTATTATTGACTTGCAAGTCAATAATTTAACCTCAATTGCATCCGTTTTCATGTGACCTTCAATTTAACCTATCTGGGGATATATTACCCATGTACTAGTCGTGCTCAGCTATTAAAAGGAAAGAATGTCAACATTGAAAGTGAAACAAGGGTAAACCATTTTTTTGACTGATTTGATCCACAAAAAATCATTCATACACAGGTAAAAACATATTTTTTTAACCTTTAACATGAAATCAAATAGACCTAGAAAAATCGAATTATAGGTGCTCGCTATCTATTTATATTTATATTTATGTTTATATCGGGTTATTGTTAAACAAATGTTAATCACACTATTTTATTTATCCAAAAAGATATCTTTAAAACAAAACAGTTATTTACAAAGTAACTAGAGTTATCTTTCTTGATACATTGATTTGGTCATCATCATTAATCAAATTGTCTTCTTTTGTAACAGGAATCAGTCATAATGAAATTAAATTACACAGTTCTCAGGCTGAATGAACAAGATAGAATAATAAAATAATTTTGAAGTGACCGTCATTGGATTAGAAAGTTCTCAGATCACAGGGATTATTCTGCCCCTTTTTCCGAAAACAAAGAAGTAAAAATGTAAAAATACAATTGTATTATTGTTTCACACAAATTCTTTAGACATTTGTCCTTTCAGCAGCAGATTCAAAAGTTCAATTCCAGAGGCTTATCTTTTGGTCGTAGAATTTGCAAGCTGAACTTTCTCTATATACCATTTTCCTCAACACAGTTTTTTTCATTCACATATAGCTGCAATATCTATTCTTAACCTTTTGTCTATACCAATTTGGCTGATTTTAGTGCGTCAGTAACACTTCTGTAGTTAATAAAAGCTGTAATAGAGATAGTTCGTTGCCCAACTCCACAAATGTCTTCAGTGATTTTTCGAAAATATAAAGCCGTTACCAATCCATCTTGTAAACGTAAATCTTCCGTCGCTATATTTATACGAACTACCTTTTTAATCTTGTTGGCTTGCCATGAAATTGGACAACAATTTCCCATTCGATCTTTTATCCAAACAATGGGAGCTCCTGTACTCCCTTTACCATTATTTATATTAATACATCCTAATGCTGTATCACTAAAAACAAAAATTTACAAGTCTTCTGTTACATTTCCTTTTAATGATGGGAAAAGCCGAATAGGCCGTATGTACTTTGACATTCCAATGTTTTAATATCACGTAGAAGATCACATACTTATGCACTTTTCATTTTAGTTCTTAAATCAACAAGTTCAAAGGCTAAATCTGGTCTTGATCCTTGCACTGCCCAGTTCAATTGCCCAACCATTCTGCGATATTCGTCCTACTCTTCTTGGGTAAGCTGTTTCAATTTTTGAAATACATACTATAGCTCTATGTGTTGGTGATTGCTTTTTTCCATGTATATTGAATGATCGAGTTATATACCTTCATTGTTTTGCTTTATGATGAAACCAATACAACAAAAATCCTATTCTTCAATGTTTCCTGTTATAAACCTCCTCCGTAATTTTTCTATCAGTTTCTCAAATTCTTCATTTCCTGCATGGAGAAATTCATCTACATGACTACAAAAAAAAAAACCTTGGAGAGATCCCTTAACTGTCAGGATAAACAAAGCAGGATTGAGTTTTGATTTTCTACATCCTAAATTTAATAGTTATATAAAACTGCCTAGCTCCATCCTTTAGTCCATACAATCCGTGTTTTAGTTTCCAAATGAATCCTTTTGATGTATGACTGTCAACCTAAGGTTTCATATGGACATTACGATCTAATTTCTCTCCTTGTAAAAGTGTTAAATTGTCTCAGCCTTTGTAATTCTAGCTGTTTTGCAATGTATATGTCAGTCTGATCAAATTCGTCAATTGTTTGAACTTCAACGTCATTGATCTGGTCTTGATTTTAAACATATTTTATTCATTAAGATAAGAATAGGATTTAGCAACAGGCACAGCCTATAAAAGCTCTCTCCATATTACATGTACAAGATATAAATCAAATATTAACAACTGTATTTAAAATAATATAATATAGTGTAAAATGCATGCTACTTATGAGCACACACAAGCAAATATATATTTTCAGTGTTAATTACTAAATGTATACTATATTTAAGTAAATAGGCAATAAATCATCATTTATTGAAGTACCTTAAGACATGTAAATATCATTAATAAGTAATAAAATATATATATATAAGGTTTGGATGATACACTAACCTTACTTAGTGGAATAAAAAAAAGGATTGAAATGAAATGAAAAACAATACAAAGCAACAATTAAGAAAACAAAAATTAAGAAAATTTCAAACAAAACGGTGAGTGTCACTGATATATTTCTGAACAGATTTAAAAATTGCAACATTCATATCATACGATAATAATCTGTTTCCAAAAAGTAATAAGTCAATATCTATGTCAACATTATCAACAATTGAGTAAATGAAATCAAGTAAGATCTGTCATACATCATTGTACTATGGGCAAATAAAAAAGAAATGCTGGCTATCCTCAACAGGGTGATTACAGTTTGCACAAATAGTGTTCTCTAATAAGAACTGATTAAATAAATTAGATTTTAGGTTGCTAACATTATTTCTGAGTTGACAATGACTAATATTATGTTTCCTTATCCCATAATTGAAATATTTATATATTTCATCAGTTCTATATAATATGTCCAGTCTACCTTTAAATATACATAAATTTGAGGATTTTTGTATACTTAGAGGAAAAAAAGTGTAATAACAAAAAAATACCGAACTCGAGGAAAATTCAAAACGGAAAGTCCCTAATCAAATGGCAAAATCAAAAGCTCAAACACATCAAACGAATGGATAACAACTGCCATATTCCTGACTTGGTACAGGCATTTTCTTGAAATGTAGAAAATGGTGGATTAAACCTGGTTTTATAGCTCGCTAAACATTTCACTTGTATGACATTCGCATTAAATTCCATTATATTGACAACAATGTGTGAACAAAACAAACAGACATAATAGGGGGAAATGTCAAAAATAGGGGTACAGCAGTCAACATTGTGTTATTATCTTAATAATAATTATAAAAGTAAACAAATATGTCAACAAAGAAAATCAAAAAGGCATATAGACAAAGCACACAAGCAAAAACGAAAGACAAGAATACAAAAAATTACCATAACACATAAGACAATGACGGGATGTATAAGTACCTAGCCACGTCAAATGAATATTACAAAAAATAGACTAAACAGTAAATGTAATAATTTACAAAGACAAATAAAAGAAAACACTATAACACATAATTAAGATGTGTATTATTTATGAAGTTGATACGGAATATTTATCAACAAGGTCTTGGTATCTTCCGATGAACTTTTTTAGAAAAAGGACGAGACGTTCTTTGACATAACCCTTGGTTCATCAACTTTCTGCTCAGACACTGGTGACGTTTTACAAAATCTGAGTAGCAGCTACAAGCTCTTGAATACCAAATGATTTGGGAAATGGATATCCCATATGCAGGTGAAGTTGGTATATTGCTACTAAGGTGGGGGAAATTGATAATTTCAAAATTAATATCGTCTCGTTTGTCATAGA